AGACCGCTCCCCACACACTGGTCCCCATACGACCGCGTTCGCGTGGTGAACGTCGATCCTTAAGGACTTTTCCGCGCACCTCCTCCTCCGTCTCCTCGACGACGTCGAACGCGACGTCCGCGAGCCCGTCCTCTCGCCACGCGTCCCCCGGCGCCTTGTTCGCCTCGAGCAGCCGCCGCTTCTCCTTAGACGGCAAGCTGGGTGGGTGGAGTTCATAGGCGTCAGACGGAGTTGAAAGGCGCCGAGGTCGGGGATTGAAAGCGAGGGATGAGCGGAGAGACACGCCGGGCAAAGTCCTTAAGGATCGACGTTCACCACGCGAACGCGGTCGTATGGGGACCAGTGTGTGGGGAGCGGTCTCGGTCGCGCACCGCGCGTCGGCGGCGTCCAGCGCGCGCAACTTGGCCTCCACCGACGCCACCTCGGGGTAATTGTCCATACGAGCGAACGTCGGGGTGGAGTTCAAAGGCGTCAGAAGCGGAGTTGTGAGGCGTCGAGGCGCGTCGGGATCGAAACCGAGGGACCCTGGGCGGAGAGAGACGAACGCGCGCCGGGAGAGAAAGTCCTTAAGGAACGGCCTTCACCGCGCCGACGGGGTCGTACGGGAACCGGCGTGAGACAGAACGCGCCTCCGCGCCCTCCGTGTCCTCGAAGTCGCACCCGCGGACGCGCTCGAGGAGCACGCCGGCGCGCGCGCATCGCGCGAACTGCGCGTTGTCCTCGCCACCCCACCCCCAGAACCCGTTCGGGTACCCGTTCGTGTTGTCGAGCGCGCGTCGATCGTAGAGGGTGACGCCGCCGAAGCACCCGTCCGCGTCGTAGCGACATCCGCCCGCGCTTAAGACGCGCACCGCGCCGCCCTTGTCGCGGTCGATGCCGTCGCTTCCCTCCTCCTCCTCATCGCGCGGCATCGCGCGGAGGTACTGCGGCGCGAGCGACGGCGACGGGAGCATGTCCACGTCGTGGAAGCAGATGATCATCGTCCCCGTCCCCGGCGCCGTCGCCGTCCCGGGCGCCGTCGCGCGATGCGGCGGAGGAGGGAAGCGCCGGCATCGAATGCGACACGGGCGGCGCGGTGCGCGACTTAAGCGCGGGAGGATGTGCCCGCGGTGCGATTTTTGGTCGTTCAAGGCGTCAGTGGTGGAGTTGAAAGGCGTCGAGGGCGGGGATCGAAAGCGAGGGACCCTGGGCGGAGAGATGCGCCGGCGAAAGTCCTTAAGGAACGGCGTTCACCACGCCGACGCGGTCGTATGGGGACCAGTGTTGGGAAATCAATCGCACCTGCCCGCGGTTGAACCGTCGGCCGTCGCGGGACTGCGTCGCGACGACGACGACGACGGCGACGCGGCGGCGGCGGCGGCTCGCGAACATCGTCGCGAGGCGCGCGAGGAGGCGCGAAAGCTGCTCACCGCGCTCGCCCGAGCCGTCCTCGCGATACGGGATGGCGATCACGAGCGACGGCGCTCGGGTGCCTTCTCCGTCGTCGTCGTCGTCGTCGTCGTCGTCGTCGTCGTCGTCGTCGTCGTCGTCGTCGCGCGTCGTCGCCGTCTCCGCCGGCGCGACGACGGCCGCCTCCGCGTCGTCGCTGCCGAGGCGCTGACGCGTGATGACGACGCCGTCGGTCATCGCGCGCTCCCGCCGCGCGCCGCCGCCGCGACTGTCCGCGCGCGCCTCGGCGGAAGCCTTCTTTTGAGAGATCCTCGGAAAGCAGTCCAGTTGCCGCGCTGCGCTGTCCTCTCCGAGAGAGTCGCCTCTTCAGAGATCGTCGCGCGCGCCGCGTCCTCGCCGCGCCTCGGGGATGTCGTGGATCTGGGAGAAGTCGCCGCTATGGCGGAAGATCGTCCGCGGGACGAGGACGAACCGCGTCGCCATGGGCGCGTTCTCGCTGACGACGATGTTCGCCCTCCCCGTCGCCGCCGGCGTCGCGGTCATGCGCTGGACGACGCCGGACGTGAGCGACGACGACGCCGTCGCGCTTCGGAAGCGCGTGAGCATGGATGCGAGGCGTCTGCGGGCGAACAACAACGACGACTTGAACGAGATGTTAGACGAGGTGAAGCGCGGGGTGAAGAACGAGGAGAGGTGGCGCGCGGCGTTGGACGGGCGGACGACGAGCGCGAGGACGTCCTCGGGGACGTCGCTGCGGAGGTAGCGTCGATGACGTCGTTCAGTTCGCGCAGGCGAAGTTTCAGAACGACGATGAGTGTATGAGATCGGCCGTACGAATGCAAACGCGAACGGCGCGACGTCACGAATCAATCAATCAATCAACACGTCGGGGCGGGCGCGAGGGAGGGACTATTTCGCCCTCCTCCTCCTCCTCGCTCGCTCACTTCGCCATCAACATCAGCGCCCCCCGCGGCGCGACGTTGTACCGCGCGCCCACTCCCGCCTTCCCCTCTGGCGTGAAATCCTCCGGAGACGGCAGGTTCGTGTCCGCGATCCGGCACCACGACGTGCCCCCCGGCGGCGGCGGCAGCGCGGCGTCCACGAAAAACTCGTGCGAGTTGAACGCGATGTACAGATCCCCCTTCCCGCCGCTGCCGCGGTCGTGAAGCGTGAACGCGATGAACCGCGACTCCTCGTTGTCCCAGTTATCCTCGTGCCACGTCACGTCGTCGTCGCGTAAAAAATCCGCGCGGCCCAACAGCGGGTGCTCCACGCGAAACTTCGCCATCCCGGACCAGAACCGGAAGTACTCCCCGCGCGTCCTCTCCAGCGCGTTCCAGTCGAAGTTGTTCAGGTGGTTGTCGTGGCCGTACGTGTTGTTGTTCCCCCCGCGCGTGTGCCCGTACTCGTCTCCCATCAACACCATCGGCGTCCCCTGAGGGTCGTTCCATACGAGCGATTGTCGGGGTGGAGTTGAAAGGCGTCAGGTGGAGTTGAAAGGCGTCGAGGGCGGGCGTTGAAAGGCGCCGAGGGCGGGCGTTGAAAGCGCGGGGTGGGCGGAGAGAGACGCCAGGAAAAGTCCTTAAGGATCGGCGTTCACCACGCGAACGCGGTCGTATGGGGACCAGTGTATAGAACGCGCCTGAGAGCACATCAGCATCATGTGCATGTTCTTCATCTGCCTCCACCGCGTCGCGCGCACGGCGTCGGACGCGCCGTCGTCGCCCTCGTGCCCGTGGTTCCAGGACTCGTTGTCGTTCGCGCCGTCGCGGCCGTTCTCGCCGTTCGCGTGGTTGCGCTTGGAGTTGTACGACACCAAATCTCGCAGCGTGAATCCGTCGTGCGCGGTTATGAAATTCAACGAGTGGTACGGCTTGCGATCGTTCACGCGATACATGTCCGACGACCCGCTTATCCTCTGCGCGAACTCTTTCTTCAGGCCGCCGTCGCCCTTCGCGAACCTCCGGATCGCGTCGCGGTACTTCCCGTTCCACTCCCCCCACCGGTCCCAGTTCGGGAAGCTCCCGACTTGATACAACCCGCCGCAGTCCCACGGCTCGGCGAAGAGCTTGCACCGCGCCAACGTCGGGTCCTTCGCGATGGCGCGAATCACGGGCGGGGACACCATCGGCGTGCCGTTCTGATCTCGACACATGCACGATGTCAGGTCGAACCGGAAGCCGTCGACGTGGTACTCGTTCACCCAGTGCCTGAGCGAGTCCAGCACCAGGTTTTGAACCACCGGGTGGTTGCAGTTGAACGTGTTCCCGCATCCGGTGTAATTTTTATACGGGTGCTTGCTGTCCTCCATCATGTAGTACGTCGAGTTGTCGATCCCTCGGAACGAGAACGGGTAGCTGCTCCCCTCGCCGGTGTGGTTGTACACCACGTCCAACAAAACCTCGATCCCGTGTTGATGCAGAGTCTTGACCATGTGTTTAAACTCCCGAGACGCCGCCGCCGGGCCGGCGCCGGCGCTCGCGTACGTCGTCATCGGCGCGAAAAACGCCATCGTGCTGTACCCCCACACGTTGAGCATGTGATCTCGAGGGTTCTTCGCGCGCTGAAATTCCATCTCGTCGAAGTGAAACACCGGGAGGAGCTCCACCGCGGTGACGCCCGCGTCGACGAGGTGCTTCGCCTTTTCCGCGATGCCCAAGAAGCTTCCGCGTTTGCTCTCCTCCACGCCCGAGCTCGCGTCTCGCGTGAACGCCCTGGGCGTGAGCTCGTAAATCACGAGGTCCTCCGGCCGCCGACCGGGCGGGGTCACGCCCTCCCAATCGAACGCGGGCGCGTCGAAGTCGATCGCGGACGTGCTCACGCCCTTCTCCCCGTTTTGGCGCGCGTTATCGTCGCCGAACACTAGGAGTTCATAGGCGTCAGAAGCGGAGTTGAAAGGCGTCGAGGTGTGTCGGGATTGAAAGCGAGGGACCCTGGGCGGAGAGAAACGCCGGGAGAGAAAGTCCTTAAGGATCGGCGTTCACCACGCCGACGGGGTCGTATGGGGACCAGTGTGAGATAGAACGCACCTCGACGCCCCTCTATCAACGGCGCGTACGGATCGCAGAGGAGCACGTCCGGATGCCACCGGTCGTACTTATGCGGCGGGTCCGGTCCGGTGATGACGTACCCGTACCTCACGAGCGGCGCGACGGCGCCGGTGACGGGGTCGACGCCGCCGCCGCGCGGGATCCCGTCCAGCCGGACGTGCCACGCGTCCCCGGTTTTGTTGATCTCCGGGTCGAGCGGCACTGCGAGGCGACGTCGGGGTGGAGTTGATAGGCGTCAGGGGTGGAGTCGTGAGGCGTCGAGGGCGGGCGGGCGTTGTGAGCGAGGGACCCTGGGCGCGGAGACACGCGCGCGGGCGAAGTCCTTAAGAGACGGCGTGCACCGCGCGAACGGGGTCGTACGGGAACCAGCGTGAGAACGCGCCGCGCAGCGACGGGTGCTTCGACGTGGACGTCGGGTCGAAGTACACGAGGAGGTCCACCTGGCGCGTGCGTCGGAAGCGAAGCGATGAGGAGGGCGGCGATTGGTCAGTCAGCGCGTGATGACGTGGACGTGTTAGTCGGTGACGCGGAAGAACGCGCGGGCAAAGTCCTCAAGGATCGGCGTTCACCACGCGAACGCGGTCGTATGGGGACCAGTGTATAGAACGCGTATACGGTGAGGAGTCACGCACCGTCTTCGCGCGCGAGGAGTACAGCGCGAAGTTGACTCCGTCGACGCCGCACGGGGTGGGGCCCATCGCGGACGCGTCGCCGGGGGAGACGCGAATGTCGTCCACGACGACGTCCAGCCGAGGGCCGCCGGAGCGAGGAGGCGCCGGCGCGGCGGCGGGCGCGGCGGCGGGCGCGGCGGCGGAGGCGACGGGGAAGCTCGGCGCCGCGACGGGCGCCGTCGGCGCGGGGCCGCCCCATCCCGGCGTCGGCGTCGGCGTCGGCGTCGGCGCGACGTATCCTCCCCCTCCCTGCTTCGGAGCCGTCGTCGGCGGCGGCGGCGTCGGCTCGGCGCTCGTCGTCTCCCATTCTCCAGGCGTCGGCGCGCCCCATCCGTCGTCGCCGCCGCCGGCCGCGGCCGCGGCGGCGGCGCCCCCCCCCCCCCGGAATCGCGGCCGTCGCGGGGCGAGTCGGGGCGACGGCGCGGCCGCCGCGGCGGGGCGCTTCCCCTCGCGCGGGGGCATCCTCCTCCGAAGGACGGACGACGACGACGACGCGACGCGCGTCGCGGCGCGCGTCGGCTCACGGCGGATCGAGCTCGAGACGCCTGCGGCGACGAGAGACGGAGGAGGCGGCGAGTCCGCGGTCGTGGGCGCGGTGAGATCAGATGATCCGCGGCGCGCGGGGTCGCGGGGTCGCGGGGTCGCGGGGTGAGTCGGGGACGGCGCGACGCGACGCGACGCGGCGACGCGGTTCGAGGTGTCAGATCGCGCGAGAAAGTCCTTAAGGAACGGCGTTCACCACGCCAACGCGGTCGTATGGGGACCAGTGTGATAACAACAGAAACAAAAAAAACGAAAAGATGATGGGTTCCGCGCGGTCGCGCGGGCGCGGGACGACGCGACGCGATCGCGCGCACCTTGGACCGCGAACATCCCTGCGGCGCGCCGCCGTGTTCGAACGCGAGTCGCGGAGGTGAGACGGACCCGCGGCGACGACGCGTGAGGACGCGGCGCGTCCGTTTCTGTCGGCGGCGGCGTCGTCTTCGAACGCGGCAGTAGACGGGTATCTTCGGGGCGGTCGCCGCCGCGGCTCGTTTTCAAGTCACACTCTGCCGTTCTGTTCCAATCAAAAAAAGTTCATCGGTCGATTGAAACGTAACGCGATCAAATGTTGAAACCGAGCGATGGGTGAAAAAGTTTGCGACAGAACGCGCAAAAAAGCGCGTTCGTCGTTCGACGACGCGACGCTTCGACCTCCGCCGGTGCCTTTTCCAGTCGCGCGCGCCCGCTCAGGCGCCGCGGCGGGTCGTCGACGCCGAGGAGGATCGACGCGCGCGATGCTCGCCGTCGCTCTCCCGCCGCCGTCGGCGGCGCCCGGGCGCGTCGTCTCGTCCGTCGGCGCGTCGTCGTCGTCTCGCCGTCGGCAGAGGCGCCTCGCCGTCGCGATGACGGCGTCGTCGCCGCCGTCGTCCTCGCGGCGCGACGACGACTACGACGACGACGACGACGCGGGGGAGGAGGAGGACGCGAAGAACGACGACGACGACGACGACGAGCTGCGCGTGACGTACCGCGGCCGCGAGGCGCGGTGTCGCCGCGGCGCGACGCTGCGCACCGCGCTCCTTCGCGCGGGACTCTCGCCGCACAACGACGCCGCGAACGTGATCAACTGCCGCGGGCTCGGGACGTGCGGCACGTGCGCGGTCGAGGTGACGCCGCGAGACGCGGCGTCGCCGTCGTCGTGGACGACGATGGAGGCGGCGCGCTTGCGCTTCCCGCCGCACGCGTCGCCGGGGAACCGAAGGCTGCGGCTCGCGTGTCAGGTGCGTTCTGATTCACACTGGTCCCCATACGACCGCGTTCGCGTGGTGAACGCCGATCCTTAAGGACTTTCTCTCCCGGCGTTCGTCTCTCTCCGCGCATCCCTCGCTTTCAATCCCGAAAGACACACTTCGACGAAGGCCTTTCAACTCCGCTTCTGACGCCTTTCAACTCCACCCCGCAGGTGCGCGTCGAGTCGTCGTGCGCGGTCGTCAAGCGAACCAAGTTTTGGGGGCAGGGCGACGCCGCGGCGCCGGATTTGAGCGGCGAGGAACGGCCGCGCGTGCCGCCGCTCGGGGCGCTGGAGTACGCGCTAGACCCTGACGAGTGGCGAGCGGCGGGGGGGCGGCGGAGCGGTGGGGGGGACGGAGGAGACGCGCGGCGCCGCGGCGGAAAGGATTAATTATTGTTTCGGCGGCGAGCGAACGACGCGCGAGCGAGCGAACGACGGGGGCGTCGTCTCTTGGTGTTAAATTTTCTTTACAAATTTCTGAAAACAACAAGCGCGGCGATATTAGCGCCTCTGCTTGATCTCGAAAAAATCATCCATCTCAATTCACGCCGCGGAGGGAGGCGCCGCGGATCCGAATGCCGATCGCGGGTTCCCCCCGCGCGGAACGAATCAACGCGGAAGTCGCCGTGCGCCGTTTACGGGACGACGAGCTTCGCGATCTTGGGCCCGCCGAGACGCTCCACGGTCGCGGCCGCGGTGACGAGGTACGACGGGATGTCGAGCTTGAACTTCTTCGCGCACCACGCGTCGACGACGAACTTCTGGTTGTCCCCGTTGGGTTCCACGGTCTTAGGGTCGTTCCATACGAGCGAACGTCGGGGTGGAGTCGAAAGGCGTCAGTTGGAGTTGAAAGGCATCGAGGGCGGGGATCGAAAGCGAGGGGTGATGGGCGGAGAAAGACGCCGGGGAAAGTCCTTAAGGATCGGCGTTCACCACGCGAACGCGGTCGTATGGGAACCAGTGTGAGATAGAACGCACCTTATCCGCGACGAAGTTGATGTAGACGAACTTCTCCGCGTGCTTCCCCTTGCACATCTCGACTTTGCCGCCGCCGGACTTGACCGCGGCGGCGCCCTCGTCCGCGGAGTACGTCGGGGGAGCGCCCTTGACCGGGTCGAGGTCCGCGAACTTGCCCGTGAGCCAGAGCTTGCAGTAGCCGCAGCCGAGCATGTTGCCGTCGCCGTCGCCGTGGACGGAGGGAACGTGGCCAGCCTTTGCGACCTCCGCGCAGATCGCCTCGAGGTCCGCCGTGGTCTTCTTGCCGCGGTTGTGCGCGATGGCGTAGACGCCTCCGAGCATCTTCGGGCCCGCGGTGTTGTTGTGATCGACCGCGCGGCCGTCGACGCACTTGAGGTAGCCGGTCGGCGAGACGTCGACGAGGTCGGCGACGTCCGCGGCTTTGACGATCTCCGCCGTCCATCCGCGATCTTGGAGGACGCCGACGACGTCCTCGGGGGTGAGCTCCGGGGCGGGCTTAGCGAGGCAAGGTCCCATTTTGATGTGTGTGGTTTTGTCGGGGAGTTGAGGAGAGCGTGCGGATGCGACGCGCGGGGGCGTGAGCGTGAGCGGAAGTGCGCGTCGATGGCAACGGTAATTGCCCTTGTGGCAGGTCTATCTTCCCCCGGGATGTGATCTCGCGATGTGATTGGTCGAAAACTCACGAAAACCCTCACAGGTTGCCCTCCTGCGATGAATTCCGATGGCTTTCGATCACATGCCGTGCTGACTCAGAAAACGCGGTTTAAACGTCTCATATGAAAAATCGATTTGAAAGGTTTTTTTCCCTTTCGCGATGAACGCGCACCGATGAAAACGTTCGCGCCAGAAAATGGTGGTACCGCCGAAGAGATACGTACGCATAAACAGTCGTAAGCGTACGTCGACGACGTACACCATCTGTTCGCGCGAATGTGTCGTTGGTGTTCGGGAGCGTGCGCTTTTTGGTAAAAGTAGCGCTCTTACTAAATACTCACACGGACCGACGCTTCGTACAGTACCACCTCCGACGCTCCGACCGTCCGACGCGTCATCGTGTTTTTCGTCTTCTGCCGCAGCACGCGCACGCTTCGAAGAGAAGGCGCGGCGGGGGCGAGATCGAATCGAATCCGCCCATTCGTCACCACATCGCGGACCGCGCAGGGACGTCCATCCCCGGGCTGGCAGCCATGGCGTCCGGTCTGTTCGCCGCGGTCAACAACTTCATCAACCACCCCGCGGGCCCGAAGACGATCTTCTTCTGGGCGCCGACGATGAAGTGGGGGATCACGGCCGCGAACGTCAAGGACTTCTCGCGCCCGCCGGAGCTCCTGTCGTACGGGTGAGACTGCTTCCCATACGACCCCGTTCGCGATGTGCACGTCGTTCCTTGAGGACTTTTCCCGTCGTCACTCTTCACCCGCGCTTCCCTTTCAACGTTTGACCGGTAAGACGTTCGACTGACCGATCGCTTCACCCACGCAGGCAGCAGAGCGCGGTCGCGGTGACGGGGATCATCTGGTGCAAGTACGCGCTCGACATCACGCCGAAGAACTACAACCTCATGAGCGTGAACGTGGTGATGGCGTCCACGGGGTTGTACCAGCTGTACAGGAAGTTCGAGCACGAGCGGCGAACGAGCGCGGAGGCGGGCGCGAATAAGAGCGCATGATGAGAGTGAAGACGACCATCATTCAATTCAGATCGACGATCAGACCGACGCGGATGCGAGACGGGCGACGGATATTCCTCCCTTCCTCCGCGAACGGAAAAGGAAAGCGCGCGGGGACCCGAGAAGGAGATCTCGGGGACCCGCCCTCCTCCTCCTCCTCCTCCTCCGATGAGGATGGGTTGTACGAACGAGTATCGACGCGGTAGCGCTAGAAGACGCGTCGCTGTACTGTAACACGACGAGACGAAAAGAACGCGCGACGAGAAGCCCTAACTTACGACCGACGACTTCACCGCCGCTCGCCTTATCCGCCGCCGTACACCGCCTCCGGCCCCCACACGCTCTGCACGAACTCGTCCCGCCCGCTCAACCCTCTGTAGAACCCGTACCGCGCGGCGTTCAGTTTGTAGTAGTCCTGGTGGTACACCTCCGCGGGCCAAAACGTAGCCGCGTCGACGATCGCGGTCTGGAGCGTCGCGACGTCGGGGTGAAGTTGAAAGGCGTCAGAAGCGGAGTTGAAAGGCGTCGAGGGCGGGGATTGAAAGCGAGGGACCCTGGGCGCAGAGATGCGCCGGGCAAAGTCCTTAAGGAACGGCGTTCACCACGCGAACGCGGTCGTATGGGGACCAGTGTGATCGTCGACGCAGACGCGGACGCGCCTTGATCGGCCCCGGGAACCTTCGCGCCGCCTCCAGCGCCCTCACGCTCGCCTCCGCCTTCTCCCTCTGCTCTTCCCCGTCCACGAAGATGGCGCTCGTGTACTGGAACCCGGAGTCTAAGAACATCCCGTCCTCGCGCGTCGGGTCGATCTGGCGCCAATACGTCTCCAAGAGCCGATCGTACGACACGACAGCGGGGTCGTACAGCACGCGCACTGGGGTGGAGTCGAAAGGCGTCAGATGGGAGTTGAAAGGCGTCGCGGTGTGTCTTTCGGGATTGAAACCGAGGAGTGCGCGGAGGGTGACGAACGCCGGGAGATAAAGTCCTTAAGGATCGGCGTTCACCACGCGAACGCGGTCGTACGGGGACCAGTGTGATGATACTATGAGAACGCGCCTGACTCGCGGTGCCCCGTCTTCCCTCCGCCGACGTCGTGGTACCGCGGGTTCGCCTCGACGCCGCCGGTGTACCCGCTCGTGGTCGCGATCACGCCCGGGAGGATATCGAACGGCTTCTCCATGCACCAGAAGCACCCGCCCGCGAAGATCGCGACGCGGTAGCCGCTCCCCGGCGGGATGGGCGGCGTCGGCGCAGGCACGTCTTCCGGGCCGTGGAGGTATCCGAGATCGTGCAAGATGTCCTTCCACAGCGGGAGCGACAGCGCGAGGAAGCCGAGGTTGAGAACGTTTCTCCGCGTCGCGTACGCCTCGTCCGCGGCGGCCGCGGCCGCGGAGGACGGCGGCGGCTCGACGTCGCCGGACGCGGACGCGCGTTCTGCGACGCCCCCGCGGCGAGCGGTCGAGATTCGCGACGACGACGGATGAGGGCCGTTCTATACGAGCGAAAGTCGGGGTGGAGTTGAAAGGCGTCAGTTGGAGTTGAAAGGCGCCGAGGGGTGTCGGGATTGAAAGGGAGGGGTGGGCGGAGAGATGCGACGGGCAAAGTCCTTAAGGATCGGCGTCCACATCGCCGACGCGGTCGTATGGGACCAGTGTATAGAACGCACCTGATGATGACTCCCGCGACGCCGACGCGTCGTCGTCCGTCGCGACGCGGTCGACGCGGGCGACGCGCGGCGCGCGTCGACGCGCGGGCGCGCGAGGGACGGCGCGAGGACGGCGGTCATCGTCGTCGTCGTCGTCGCGGCGTCGGCGGCGTCGCGCGGCGTCGAGCGCGCGGGGACGACAGACAGGACCGACCGCGACCGCGACACGTCTGGATCAGATATTTTTTTCCGGCACTTACGGCCATTCCATACAAAAACAGTTCACCGGTCAGTTGAAAGGGGGAGCGATCAAATGTTGAAACCGAGCGATGGGTGAAAAACTTTTGTACAGAATTTTCCTTATTCTCGCGCCGAAAACGCCTCGGAACTAACTCGCATCAGATGCCCCCGCGCCCCGCGCCCGCCTCGCGCCGCCGTCGCGACACCCCACCACCCCAACGCGGGTCCGGTCCTCCCGTCGCGTCCACGACCTCGGGGAGATGCGCGCGAGACGCGCCGACGCGCGCGGGGACGCGACATCGCGCCCCGTCGCGCCGGGGAAAACGGTCCACGCGACGCCCGACGCGGATAAACGCAGAGCGGACGCGGACGACGGACCGCGAACGACGACGACGACGACGACGACGACGACGGAACAGCTCGCGGCGCTGCCGTGCCAGGCCAAGCTCCGCGACTCGCCGTTCCCCGACACGTTCTCGCCGTTCCTCTCGCGCGTCGACGCCATCACTCCGCGCGAGCTGTGCGTCGCGGCGCTCCTGTTCCCGCTCGCGTGCGCGCGCGCCGTCGCGCTCGTCGCGCACCTCGTCGCCTTCGCCGCCATCTCCAAGCTCAAGCTCCTCGGTCTCCCGCGAGACGTCCAGCGCGGCGACGCGCCGACGCCGCGGTGGCGCGAGACGCTCTTCTACCTCGCGTTCCGAGCGCTCATGACGTCGTGCCTGCTGTCCGTCGGCGTGCTCGTGCGCGTGAGGGGTCGCGACGAGATCCGGCGCGTTCTATACACTGGTCCCCATACGACCGCGTTCGCGCGGTGAACGCCGATCCTTAAGGACTATCCCCGGCGCATCTCTCCGCCCATCCCTCGCTTTCAATCCCGACACCCCTCGACGCCTTTCAACTCCGCTTCTGACGCCTTTGAACTCCACCCCGCAGGCGCGTCGTGCGATCAAACGAAAAGTGCGTCGGCGTGTTCAACCACGTCTCGTACCTCGACCCGTTCGTCCTCGTCGCCGCGCACGCCAGGGTCACGTCCATCGCGAAGGCTGGCATCGACGACATGCCGCTGATCGGCGACCTCGGCAAGGCGGTCGGGATCCTGTTCGTCGCGCGCAGAGGCACGGGCGAGGCGAGCGGGAGCTCGCGACGCGGCGGCACCGTGGCTCGACTCGAAGATAGGCGTGCGTTCTGTACACTGGTCCCCATACGACCGCGTCGGCGTGGTGAACGCCGTTCCTTAAGGACTTTTCCCGGCGTGTTTATGCGCCCACCCCTCGCTTTCAATCCCCGCCCTCGACGCCTTTCAACTCTAACTGACGCCTTTTAACTCCACCCCGAGTTGGTGTACACTACTTTTAGTCGCGCGCCGAGCCGAGTACCCTTTGCTCATGATCGCCCCGGAGGGCGTCACCACGAACGGCGACTCGGTCGTGAAGTTTCAGACCGGCGCGTTCGCGCCCGGGTGCGCGGTGCTGCCGGTGTTGATTCGGTACCCGCGGAGAGCGGGCGCGTTCAGGCGCGTTGTATACACCGGTCCCCGTACGACCCCGTCGGCGTGGTGAACGCCGTTCCTTAAGGACTTTTGCCGTCGTGTCTCTCCGCCCAGGGTCCCTCGCTTTCGATCCCCGCCCTCGACGCCTTTCAACTCCGCTTCTGACGCCTTTCAACTCCACCCCGACGTTCGTCGCTTCGTATGGACAATTACCCTCAGCCCGGCGTGGACCGTCGGCGACACCGGCTGGTTTTTGTGGCGGATGCTCTCGCAGGCGCGTTCTACTTTTCTCACACTGGTCCCCATACGACCGCGTCCGCGTGGTGCACGCCACTCCTCGAGGACTTTTGGGTCCCGCGCGTTCGTCTCTCTTCGACCACCCCTCGGTTTCGATCCCGACGCGCCTCGACGCCTTTCGACTCCATATCTGACGCCTTTCGACTCCGCCCCGACGTTCACTCGTATGGACAATTACCCTCTCGCAGCCGTACACGCGCGCGGAGGTGGAGATCCTCCCGCCGCGCCGCCCGAGCGAGGAGGAAAAGAGGGACAAGGAGTTGTTCGCGTCGAACGTGCAGAGGGAGATGGCGGCGGCGCTGGGCGTGCCCGCGGTGCGTCAGGACCTGTACGACTGCAAGGAGGTGATGCGCGCGGGATTCTGCGTGGATCGGAGAGGGCGGCTGATTCGCGCGGACCCGAGGACGGTGGCGGCGCGAGGGTGGGTGTGAGGCGACGAGGGAGGGAGGGAGGGAGGGAGGGAAAAGGCGGCGGCGGCGGCGGCGGCGACGACGACGACGACGACGCGCGCGAGTAGACGCGAGTAGCGAGCAGAACGACGACGAGAGAGACGAAAGGCGCGAAGAGAGCGAAGATGAAATCGTCGATCGGATCCGTCGTCACTTCCCGCCCGCTTTCGCCGCGGCGACCTCGTCCTTCCTGCGCTTCACGTCCCAGTTATACACCCGCGCGATGCTCACCTCCGTGATCGTTACGTTGTCCTTCACGAACGCGAGGTCGCTCTTGTTCGTCTCCAGGTTGTTCTTACAGTTTTGATAGTTCGTCTCCAACAGCGCCTGAGCGGGGTGAAGTTGAAAGGCGTCGGGGCGAAGTTCAAAGGCGTCGGGGCGAAGTTCAAAGGCGTCAGACGGAGTCGAAAGGCGTCGAGGCGCGTCGGGATCGAAACCAACCGTGGAGCGGGCGGAGAGAAACGCGCGCGCGCGGGACCCAAAAGTCCTCAAGGATCGGCGTGCGCCGCGCGGACGCGGTCGCGCGGGGACCGGCGCGAGGACGCGGAGAGAGACGAACGCCGGGAAGTAAAGTCCTTAAGGATCGGCGTTCACCACGCGAACGCGGTCGTATGGGGACCAGTCATCCCCAAACGCGCCTTGGCCTCGTCCAGAGGGTACTCCAGCATCACGTTGGCGCCCAGCCACAGGTACACGCTCTCCGCGTCCTTCACGACCGCCTTGGCGTACACGCTGTCCACGAGCTCGAAGTTCATGTTGAGCTCCTCCCCGGTGCCGCGCTTGTCGCACAGCATCTGCACGGTGTCCAGCGCGCGCTTGATGTCCGGGAGTTTGTTCCCGAGGCGGATGCGGTTCTGCTGCAGCGACGCCTCGATCTGTTTGTACTGGTTGAAGAGCGTTTGGAGATCCGCGAGCGCGGGCTCGGGCTCTTTGTCCGCCATGTACGCGTCGACGTCATCGATGAACTGGGTGACGGGTGACGCGCGGCGGGGTGGGGTGGGGTGGGCGTCGTCAGGGCGGGCGGCGGAGGTGGGGGAGATGGCGATCGTTCGCGCGTCGTCGCGTCATCGCGTCGCGTTCGAAAAAGTTTGACTCGATCGATCGATCGATCGACGGCGCGGCGCGCGATCGGACCGGAGGATCGTTCGCGCGTCTTCGGGCGAACGAGCGACGGACCTTCGCCTTCGGGACGGTGATGCCCTCGCTGCCGTCCGCGTTCGGACCCGCCGTCGTGGGCGCGACCGTCGTCGTCGTCATCCCGACCGACGCGATCTGTGTTGTGCGGGCGCGACGCGCGGGCCGACCGGAGAAAATAAACCGCGACGGGACGAAATCTAAAATTTAATTTTCTAGAGCGACGACGAGTCTACTGTACATAAGGTACCGCTACCCCGCCGCCCGCCTACTCGCGACTGGACCACCGCTCGAGCTGATTCCGGACGTAAAACTGCCCGCTCGAGCTCGCGTCCCCTCCCCCGCCTCTCCCCCCCCAGTCCTCGTGCACCTGGAACACCAAGAACGTCTCGCAAAAGTCAAACGCGAGCCCTGAGGGCCGTTCCATACGAGCGAAAGTCGGGGTGGAGTTCAAAGGCGTCAGTTGGCGTTGAAAGGCGTCGATGTCGGGGATTGAAAGCGAGGGGTGGGCGGAGAGATGCGACGGCAAAAGTCCTTAAGGATCGGCGTTCACCACGCCAACGCGGTCGTATGGGAACCAGTGTATAGAACGCGCCTGACCCCCCGCCTCCTCCGCCGCCGCCGCTCGTCAGCGTCCCGGTCGCGAACACGGTCACGCCGCCGTCGACGCCGCCGGGCAGCGCGTCGATCGTCCGCACGGTCCGCCGCAGCGCGCCCGCGCCGGAGGCGGCGCGCGACGCGAGGAGCGCGGAGATGTCTCTCCCGCCGCGGACTTTCTCCCCCTGCGCGGTGGTCACGCAGCTCACGTCGCGGTACAACGCGCTGACGGGGGTGAAGTTGAAAGGCGTCGGGGTGAAGTTGAAAGGCGTCAGTTGTTGGAGTTGAAAGGCGTCGAGGCGCGTCGGGATTGGAACCGAAGGACCCTGGGCGGAGAGAGACGAACGCACGCCGGGAGAGAAAGTCCTTAAGGAACGGCGTGCACCGCGCCGACGGGGTCGTACGGGGACCGGCGTGAGGAGTTGAAAGGAGTTGAAAGGCGTCGCGGGCGGGGATTGAAAGGAAGGGGTGGGCGGGGAGAGAGGACGGCAAAAGTCCTTAAGGATCGGCGTTCACCACGCGAACGCGGTCGTATGGGGACCAGTCAGAACGCGCCTCAGCGTCTCGACGTCGACGTCGACGCGGTCGACGAGCGCGTGATAGTGTTCGAGGAAATTCGCGCCGTTCGCGTGAAGCGAGGACGTCGGGTCCACGAGTCGACGCAGCCACGCGCGCGTCGCGGCCGCTCTCTCTCTCTCGTCGCGCGCGTCGTCGCCGCCGCCGGTCGCGAACGGGTGCGATCGTAACCGCGTCGCGCACGGCCGGTCCTTGGCTTTTTTTCGCATGCACTGAGGGCCATTCCATACGAGGCGACGTCGGGGTGGAGTTCAAAGGCGTCAGATGGAGTTGAAAGGCGTCGAGGGCGGGGATTGAAAGCAAGGGACCCTGGGCGGCGAGATGCGCCGGGCGAAGTCCTTCAGGAACGGCGTTCACAACGCGAACGCGGTCGTACGGGGACCAGTGTATAGAACGCGCCTGACGGACAAAATCTTCGAACGACGGCGTGAGGCCTCTCGCGCGCAGCGCGTCTTTTTCCTTCGGAAGCGGCGGGTCGTCCTGCGTGATCTGAAGCATCAGGCCGAGGGGGCCGCCGTCGTTTTGATCGTACGGGTACCTGGGTGAGTGGCAGGGGAAGGGTGAGAATCCGACGGTCGGTCGCGGAGCGGCGAGCGAGCGACGCGGACGCAAAGAAAACCCAAAAAAAAAAAAAAAAACGCATTTCTGCCCGTCGTCGTCTCACCTCCCGAGACCGCACTCCAGCACCGTCAGACCGAGGCTCCACACGTCCGCGGCGAAGTCGTAATCCCCATTCTCCACCCGCTCCGGCGACATGTAACACATCGTCCCCTTGAACGAGTCCAACAGACCCGCGCCGCCCGGTTCGATGGACGCGCTGATGCCAAAGTCCGTTATCTTCGGCTCCCCCGCCGACGTCATCAGCACGTTTCCGGGCTTGAAGCGACGAACGTCGGGGTGAAGTCGAAAGGCGTCAGTCGGAGTTGAAAGGCAGGCGTCGCGGCGTGTCGGGATCGAAACCGTGGGACCCTGGGCGGAGAGATGCAGAAGACGCCGGGAGAGAAAGTCCAGTCCTCGAGGATCGACGCGCGAACGCCGCGCGAACGCCGTCGCGCGGGGACCCGCGTATTTTGCTCCGGAACGCACCTTGACGTCTCTGTGCACGACCCTCCGGTCTCTGTGCAGGTACTCCAACCCTCGCGTCACGCCGCTCGTGATGTGCCCCAGGACGTCGCACGGGATGGCGCCTCCGCGCTTGAGCAGCGCCTCCAGCGACCCGCCCTCTACGTACTCTAACGCTATGTTGATCGTGTCGTTCTCAGCCGAGTAAAAGGCGCCGTAAAACGACACGAGGCCGCGGACGCGCGGCGAGTCGCACAGCGTGCGCATCTCGTTGATGATCTGTCTGCGTCGCTCCTTGTCGTTCACGGTCATCTGCTTCAGCGCGATGACGCGGTGCGAGGGGACGTGTATCGCGCGCTTGACGACGCCGGACGCGCCGACGCCGACGACGCCGAAGACGCGCACGTCGGACGACGCGCATCGGTACGCGCACTCGTTCTCCGCTCGCGAACTCGTTCCTGTAGTCGCGGAGGACGCGCGCGCGTCGCCGCCGCGCGCGCCGTACTCGATCCCGTCGCTCGTGAGCTTAAACTCCCTCGCGGACGCGCTGAGGAGCTTGATGCCGTCGTCGGTGAGGTTGTAGGACGCCTGCGGAGGGAGGAACACGACGCGCGAGACGCGACGCGAGTGGGCGTAAGACGGAGGGTCGGCGAGACGGGCGATGGCTGCGGTTCCGGAGGCGGGCGCGATCGACGGGTGGGCGCGACGACGCGCGCGAGATGGGACGCGACGTATAGACGCGCCGACAGGTCCGCGCTCGCGTTGAGCGACCGCTCGAGGTTGAACGACCCGTCGAGCTTGAGCCCCAGGCCTAACCCCGCGGGTCTCGGCGGGCGGCTCATCGCGCGCGGCGTTCGGAGCGCGGCGCGCTGGTCCGTGTGTTGGATGCGACGACGTTACGACGAGAGCCTGGATCTCGTCACTTGACAGGAACCGCCTGTCTCTCACCAGGCCGGCACCGGGGGAACAAATACGAAGGTAATGCGGTGGTATCGGAGGGTCGCGACGTCGACGCGCGCGTTCGTCACACCGCACGACGCGCGACGACGTCCTCGTCGCCGCGCGCGCGCGCGTTCACCCTCCCCTCGCGCGTCGCGCGCGCGCCGCATCGCGCGCGCGCCGGCCGCGGAGGCCGCGGAGGCTGGGGTTCGGCGACGGAGAGACGGACGACGACCGCGGGATCGCATCGCTCGCGAACGCTTCGTCCGTTTGACCGCGCGGTCTCCCGCGACGAATAAGGGATGTCGTCCGACGACGCGACGCCCGCGGAGGCGACGCCTCCCGCGGAGGACGCCGCGGACGACCCCGCGCCGGAGGAAGAAGAACCGGAGGAGCCGCTGCCGATGGAGTGCGACGCGACGCTCGTGTTCGCGTTCCGCGCGCGCGCGCCGCCGCGGCCGATCGCCGCCCCGCGCGCCTCCGTCGTCCCCGCCGAGGAGACATCTGATGATCACGAGAAGGCGGACGCGAGCGGCGGCGACGCGCCCGCGAAGACGACGACGGAGCCGACGCCCGAGGCCGAGGCCGCCGCGCGCGAGGACGACCCGGTCACGTCGTCGATGACGATAACGTGGACGCTCCCCGACGGCGCGACGGCGACGACGCCGCACCCGCTGGTCCTCGAGCGGAGAGACGCGGGAGTGGTGGACGTGGATTTCGTCTCCGCGTCGGCGATGATCAGGGTGGACGAGGCGAAGCTCCGGGCGATCGCGGCGACGCCGTTCGTCGCGGTGACGTTCACGCGCGTGGACGAGGCGCGGCGAACGCCGGAGGAGGCGGGGGAGGAGGCGGCGGGCGAAGCGGTTGACGATGCGCCCGCGGCGGATGCGCCCGGCCCGACGACGACGACGTACTCCGTCACCCTGGGCGTCTCCGGGGTCATCCTGGGCGTGCGCGCGTTCGAGCGCCTGACGTTCACGACGTCCGACGCTCGCGTCCGGGAGACGGTAACGGACGACGACTACGCGTTACTACCCCCCATTTTGGCTGGGTACGCGGACGCGTCGTTCGAGTTGAGGTACGCCGGCGACGGGACGTCGCCGCCGGAGCCGGAGCCGGCGCCGGAGGCTGAGGCCGAGGCCGAGGCGTCGGACGCCGCCGCGCCGCTGCCGCCGCCGCCGCCGCCGACGTTCATCCCGAGCGGGCTCGCGCGCGAGATGGCGCCGTTCGCGGTGACGCTGCGGTCGATCGACCGGCTTCCGGACGCGCCGGCGTCGGCGGCGGCGTTGACGGAAAAATGCGAGCCCGTGACGGCGCACTGGAGGTTCGCCTCTGGGGTTCTGCCGGTCGTGTCCCTGGAAGCGACGAGCAGCTCGGGATGGAGCGAGCCGATGGCGGGGACGTACCCGCCGATTCGCACGCGGGGTGCCGAGTTTGGGGTGCCGACTATGCTGTTCGGGATGGACATGGCCGGGTGGAGCGAGGGAGAGTGCGACGTGTACCGGACGTGCGCGACGAGCGTCCTCGAGGTTAGGGTGCACGATAGGGTCAAGATGGAGGATAAAGAGGCGACGGCCGCGATGGCGGCGTTTTTAGGGAGAGGAAAAGGTAGGAAAAAGAAGAAGAAGAAGAAGCCCGAGGGCGAGGAGGGGGAGGAGGAAGCGGAGGAGGAGGAGGAGGAGGCGGCGGAGGGAGAGGACGCCGACGGCGACAAGCCGCCCGACGACGCCGACGCCGCCGCCGACGCCGACGCGCGCGCGGACGAAGAAGCGCCCGCCGGCGACGGATTCCCCGCCGCGGACGTCTACGGCCTCGCGACGTTCGACCTGCGCGCGCTGTGCCACCCTCCGCACGTCGCGCGCGCGCTCTCAGGCGCGTTCTCCTCACGCCGGTCCCCGTACGACCGCGTCGGCGCGGTGAACGCCGATCCTTGAGGACTTTCGCCCACAGGCGCATCTCTCCGCGCACCCCTCGGTTTCAATACCGACACACCTCCATCGACGCCTTTCAACTCCGCTTCTGACGCCTTTCAACTCCACCCCGACGTTCGCTTTGAACGATGGAACGACCCTCAGCGGAGTCCAAGGTGTTGCCGATGACGAACGTCCCGCGCGGCGGCGACCTCGACTGGTCGTCCCGCCCCGGGCGTTTCGCGGACTCGGACGCGAGCGTGCGGCTCGTGTTCGAGACCGCGACGCCGTTAACGCCGAAGCGAGGGGCGTCGCGGTCGAGGCCGTACGTCAGGGCGGTGTTCACGGTCGCCTACGACAACGCGCGGCTGTTCCGCGAATTGCTCGGCATCGTTCGCGCGCAAAACGCCGAGGCGTTGGACATCCGAGGGACGCCGAAGCACGTGTTGTTCGCGCTGTCCACGATGAAGCTCACCCCGGCGCAGGTCGTCGACCCGGGCGTGCGGGTCATGACCGGGTACCACGTCATCGACGGCATTCGTCGGCAGCTCCTCATCGAGGGCTCCGTCGACGTCATGCGCCCGGTGTTTGACGTCGCTCGTCGCGAAAAAGCCCGCGGCGGCCGGTCTGTCATCCTCTGCAACCCGGCGCGTTCTACACACTGGTTCCCATACGACCGCGTTCGCGTGGTGAACGCCGATCCTGAAGGACTTTTGCCGGCGCATCTCTCCGCCCACCCCCTCGGTTTCAATACCCGCCCTCGACGCCTTTCAACTCCACCTGACGCCTATGAACTCCACCCCGACGTTCGCTCGTATGGAACGACCCGGAGGCGCTGACGCACGCGCGCCGAGCGTATGGATCCCTGGGCGCGGACCTGTGGCCGATCAAGCTGTGCGACGACGTGGCGCGCATCGCCGGCGGCGCGACGTGCGCGAGCGGCGGCGTCGTCGGCGACGCGACGCGCGAGGCGGTGCGAAGGATTTCCGCGCTGGCGCGCGGCGGCGCGGCGTGGGCGCGCCAGGTCGAGCGCGCGCGCTTGTGCCCCACCCCGGAGATGCTCGTCGCGCTCGACCGGCGGTTCGGCGACGTCCTCACGATCGTGGACTTGACCGGGAGGGCGCCGATCGAGAGGGCGTTCGGGTGGCATCGATCCGCGGCGGAGGCGGCGGCGCGAGCGAGGGACGGGGGGTCGCTCGGGTCGGAGGGCGAGGGCGGACTGAGGCGCGTTCTGATTCACGCTGGTCCCCATACGACCGCGTCGGCGTGGTGAACGCCGATCCTTAAGGACTTTCGCCCACAGGCGCATCTCTCCTCCCACCCCTCGCTTTCAATCCCCGTCCTCGACGCCTTTCAACTCCGCTTCTGACGCCTTTCAACTCCACCCCGACGTTCGCTCGTATAGAACGGCCCTGACTTTCGCCGAGGACACCCTCGCGACCGGCGCGGGGGCGGACGTCCACGACGACCAGGGCGCGACGTTCATCTGCGACGGATCCGTGGACGTGGACGAAAGCGGCGGGTCGAGCGGGAGGCGTCGCGCGAAGACGAAGCCGGAGCTGGATACGACGTCGCCGGAGGGCTATCTCGAAGAGTTGGCCGCGCGGCGGCGGCTGCGACTGCGCCGCGACGTCGACGCGGAGGAGATGGCGACGATTCGCGCGCTGGAGAAGACCGTCGGGACGGCGAAGCGGGCGGCGTGGCAGACGTGGAACGTGACGCGGATCACGCGGGAGCGCGCGGCGGCGATTCTCGCGGACGTCGCGGCGCGGACGGCGGAGATGGACGCGGCGGCGCGGGCGAAGGAAACCGCCGAGATGAGGGCGTTACACCCCGAGCCGTTCAAGTGGCCGCCGTCGCTGGACCGCGAGAAGGAAGGCGTGCACCGTCGCGCGCCGACGGAGAAGCGCGTGGAGGAGCTCAAAGAGCCGCACGTCGAGGGCGAACTCTTGGAGACCAACTACGTCAGGCGCGTTCTATACAAACGTTTTTCACCCATAGCTCGGTTTCAACGCTTGATCGCGTGGGTCCCATTCAACTGACCGGTGAACTATCATATTTTTGTATGGAACGACCCTCAGAGATTTGCGGAAAACTGGATACGCCGACGTCGACGGCGGAAAACGCCCGCCGTTCAAGCCCCAGTCCAAGGCGCCGCCGGACTTCGGGACGGACAAGTCGCACTACGCGACCGTGCACCTCGTCGGCGAGAAGCTTCTCGCGGAGCAGAGAGAAGCCGAGGAGAAGGAGAGAGAGGCGTGGAAGCAGAAGGTGGTGGTGGACTCGACGTACTTTAAGACGACGCTTCCGGGCTCCGGATACGGCCAAAACGGCCCGATCAGGCGCGTCCTACGTCACACTGGTTCCCATACGACCACGTTCGCGTGGTGAGCGCCGATCCTTAAGGACTTTCTCTCCCGGCGTTCGTCTCTCTCCGCCCAGGGTCCCTCGCTTTCAATCCCGACGCACCTCGACGCCTTTCAACTCCGCTTCTGACGCCTTTCAACTCCACCCCGACGTTCGCTCGTACGGAACGGCCCTCAGCGGAGAACGCGCGCGGAAGCCGCTGATGGTGGACAAGTACGACTCCATGCTGAGAGACCCCCCCGCGAAGCACTCGCTGAAGGGGAAGTACGTCAAAGGCGCGAGCGCGCCGCCGCCGGTGAGCATGCACACGAAGGGTCGGTACGTCGCTCCGGATCAGGTGCGTTCTATACACTGGTCCCCATACGACCGCGTCGGCGTGGTGAACGCCGATCCTTAAGGACTTTTCCCGGCGCGTCTCTCCGCTCATCCCTCCCTTTCAATCCCCGACCACGACGCCTTTCAACTCCAACTGACGCCTATGAACTCCACCCAGGGGCCGAAAAATTGGATGGAGACGACGGCGCCGGGACCGCTCGGGGGGACGCTGCGCGAGCCGTTCGGGGGCGGGGAGAATCTCTCGACCGGGTTCTTGACCGGGAACGATTTCGTGCGGATAAACGTCGGGGACAGGACGGGCGTGCATCGGCGAAGAGAGAAGGGGACGCGGGAGTTCGAGTGACGCGCGCCCGCGACGCGAGAGAGAAATTCGTCCGGAACTGTCAGACTGTAAAACTGTCGAAAATACGACGACGACTCCGAGACGAGAAAACCAAATTGCGTCCCGAGCACACGCGCCCGCGCGGCGTATCGTCGTCGCGCACGTCCCGCGCCCGCCCCGCGCGTCCGCGGCGCGAACGTCGTCGTCGCGCGCGCGTCGCCTTCCGTCGCCCTCGCGCCGCGAACGCTCGTCCGCCGCGGATCGATCGATCGACCGTCCCGTCCCCGTCCCCGTCCCCGTCCCCGTCCCCGTCCCGAGAGATTATGGGCGCGCGAATTCCCGACGCGATGGGGGGAAAAGGCGAGGAGACGCGCCGGAGGCTCGCGCTGAGCGAGGCTGTCGTCGAGCGCCTGGAGACCGCGCTCGCGGACAAGTCCAGGGCGCTGGAGGAGTCCGTCGAGAGGGAGCGCGCGCTCGAGGCGACGATCGCGGAGCTGCGCGCGGCGCCGTCGCGCGACGAGCAGATGACGGAGATGCGCGAAAAGCTCGAGGCCGCGACGCGCGAGACCGAGTCGCTCCGAGCGTCCACGCTCGCGCTCGCGTCCACGCGCGCGCCGTCGGACCCGGAAGAGGACGCCGCGCTCGCCGTGCGCGTCGCGACCGCGGAGGGCTCGCTCGCGACCTCGCGCGCGCGCCTGGACGTCGCCGAGACGGCGTTGGCGGAGTGGCGAACGCACGCCGAGGCGCGTTCTATTCTACACACTGGTCCCCACGCGACCGCGTCGGCGCGGCGCGCGCCGTTCCTTGAGGACTTTCTCTCCCGGCGGGCGTTCGTCTCTCTCCGCCCAGGGTCCCTCGCGTTCAATCCCCGACACGCCTCGACGCCTCACGACTCCGCTTCTGACGCCTTTGAACTCCACCCCGACGTCGCTTCGTATGGGCGATTACCCTCGACCCCAAGGCGCTGACGACGCGCGTCCGCGAAGCGGAATCGGAGCTCGCCGCGCGCGCCGCCGCGCAGGACTCGCTCGAGGCGCTCGCGGCGTCGCAGAGACGCCGCGCGGACGTCGCGGAGGACGTCTGCGAGCGTTTGTCCGAGCGCATCGCGATCGCGGAGGCGCACGCGGCGAGAGGGAGAGCGATCGGCGGCGTCGGCGGAGAGGCGGAGCGCGCGCGGTGCGATTTCCCAACACTGGTCCCCATACGACCGCGTCGGCGTGGTGAACGCCGTTTCTTAAGGACTTTTCCCGGCGCGTCTCTCCGCCCAGGGTCCCTCGCTTTCAATACCCGCCCTCGAAGCCTTTCAACTCCGCTTCTGACGCCTTTGAACTCCACCCCGACGTTCGCTCGTATGGAACGACCCTCAGCGATCGAGCGATTCGAGACGCGATTCTCGCGGAGGACGCGCGCGAGCGCGAGCGCGCGGCGGCTGAAGCGGCGGCGAGCGCGAAGAAGAAGAGGGGCGGCACGGCGGCGGGCGCGTCTTCCCCGGCGTGGAAGCACGGGCCGCGAGGCCCGCCGACGAACGTCAACATCGCCTTCTTGACGCGGTCGCCGCCGCTGCCGTCGGTGGGCGCGATGGCGAGGCGGATGGCGCGCGCGCGCGGCGGCGGCGGCGGCGACGACGACGACGACGATCGACCGAGCGCGACGGGCGCGGCGTACGGGACGCCCGCCGCGTCGCGGGCGTCGCCGCGCTCGGACGCGCCGACGCCGTCGCCGTCGTCGACGCGGCGCGACGCGGCGGCGCGGTCGCTGGAGAGGCAACTCGAGCGGTCCAAGGCGTTTTTGAGCGCGCAGAGAGAGCGCGAAGGCGACGCGGACGCGGAGGGAGGAGGACGCGGACGCGGAGAAGGCGCGTTCTGATTCACACTGGTCCCCATACGACCGCGTTCGCGTGGTGAACGCCGATCCTTAAGGACTTTTCCCGGCGGTTCTCTCCGCGCATCCCTCGCTTTCAATCCCGACACACCTCGACGCCTTTCAACTCCACTTCTGACGCCTTTCAACTCCGCCCAGGGGACCCGGCGCGGGCGATCTGGTACGACGCCGAGCCGACGCCGACGCCGTCGACGACGACGCGCGCGAAGATCGCCTCGGACGAATTACGCGACGCGCTCGACGCCGCGCGAAGGGTGTGCGACGCGGCGGAGCGACGGAGCGAGGCGAGTCGAGAGGCGTTGGACCGCGCGAGAGAGTTGGAGGCGTCCACGACGCGGTTGCTCGCCGCCACCTCTCGTTGATTAAAATTAAAATTAAATTAAATTTAAATTAGCAGACGGGCGGCACAACTGCTCACTCGTGTTATACGTACTGTACCGCAGTGAAACGTCCGAGACGCGCGCGTCATCTCATCTTTTCCGCGGCACGAGCTAGGTCCTCGTCCTGCCGCCCTTCTTGTTCTCCGCGGCTGGTGCCGGTTGTAAAAACGCGAGCGGCCCGGTCGGGGCGGCCTCCTCGTCGTTCGCGGGTTTGTTCTCGTCGTCTTCTTTGTCCTTGCAGCACCCGAGCTTCTCGATGGCTTTCAGCTGCGCGGTGTGGATGTAGCCCATGATGCCGGAGATCGTCGCGGCGATGCCACCCGCGGCGGCGAGGTACGCGAAGAAAGGTTGCGGGTACGACGTCGTGACCTTCGAGTACAACGGGAACGGCGTGAGCGCAACGCCCGCGCCATACGGCACTTCATACGTTACGCCGTTTTCGCCGGGGCCGACAGTAGAATCCCACCCAAACGACGTTTTCATACTATCTTTACACAGGTTCGACCCAAGCGACCCCGCGGGGCCCGTGGCGTGGCTGCCCGGTGAGTTGTAGAACAAGCCGTCCGTGTCCACCGGGGTGATACCCCACTCGTAAATCATCGTCTCGGATTTTCGCGTCGCGTAGTCCGGATGCGTCGGGTCCCACTCCATTTTCGGGTCATCGCGTATCACGAGCGACAGGAGGACTTTGCCGCGGTGCACCTTGAGGAGGGCGAGGTGATCACGATTCCGTCGGTCAGTCGAAAGAGGACGGGCGAGACGGGTTGGCGAGACGAAGCGCATTCGAAAGAGAATGGAAAGGACGCACCTTGAGCTCGCGTTGTTTGATCGTATTGTCAACGTTCGATAAGTAATCCGACATGATGGAGACCCCGAACGTGCACGCGCCCGTGCACGTTTTAGGAGCCACCGACCAGTCGTGCTTCCAGTAGACAGTCAAGCCGTCGATCGGATCCCCCGTAGTGGGCTGGAACGCGCACACGGCGGCCGCCGTCGAGAGCTCGACGTTGCACGCGATCAGGCTCGAGCACGCCGCGGGGGTGATCGACCCCTGCAACAGCGCGCGGCCTCGGTTCTTGATGATGGAAGCTGATGACGATTCGAATTCCGTCGATTCGAATTCCCGAGCGCTCGCGTTGAAGACCGCCGCGTCGACGTCGAGGAGCGTCCTGCGTCGGCCCGACGCAGCGCACAAGTCACTGCTCTCCGTCTCGGTGCTCAGCGTCCCGCTCGCGCACATGTCCGCGCCGCCCGCTGGCATTCGATAGTAGCACCCGTCCGGGTTCTGGCACTTCAACGTCAGCGGGAACACGTTCGTGGCGTACGATATCGTCTCTGTGGATGTGACCTTGTAGAGGGGCTCGCTGCCCGCGAAGCCGTAGTAGAACTGCACGAAGTATATGATGGAGTACAGCACGACGCAGATGGGGAGGATCACGATGGACATGAACGAGCCGAGCTTCGTTTGCTCCTCGACGTTCGTGACGGCGCCCTTTTCGCGAGGAGGAGGAGGGGAAGGAGGGGGGATCAGCTCGAGTCGAACGGGGTCAAAACGTTGAACGCGGCGAGAAAACGAGCGCGATCGGGATGTTCGACTGTTCGAGTGATCGCGCGTCGCGCGTGCGGTAGCGCGCGCGCGCGGAGCGGGAGAAGACGCACCGCGAAGCTGTCATTTTCTTTGTTGAAAGGGTTCGGGAACAGGGAAGGCATTTCGCGCGCGAGGGCGAGGGCGTCGACGGCGAGGACGACGGCGCCGCGCGAGAGCACATGTGCTTAACGATATCTTCTGTTGATACGTTCGCGTTCCGGTTCCTTTCTTCGAAAGGTCGCTGTACGCTGGTATCGTTAAAATCACCGATATTTTTGGGTCGATCAACTTTTTTTCCTCCTTTCAGTTCAACGGTTGTTGTTACTTTTCTGAGCGACTTTCACGCCAAGATCCGGGTTCAAAAGTTGCGACAAAAACTCTGCCACAATTCTCGGGACCTGCATCTGCAGGACGACCAAAATCGGGATTGACTCAATCCTCGCGCGCACTCGTCCTCGCGCGCAGGCTCCGCCGCGCGTCGCGCTCGCCACCTCACCGGACCGCGCCGCCGTCCGCGCCGCCGCCCGCGTGACCGCCGCCGCGCGCGCCGCGCGCCGCCATGCCGCTCGTCCACGAGACGCACGGGGTGTTCGTGTACCGCGTCGTCCACGGCCGCAAAGTGGCGTGCAGGACCGTCCCGCACGTCGGGGAGGAGCACGCGTTCGGCGACGGACGATGGACGCTGAGCGGCGGCGACATGGTCGCGGTGGACTGCGTGCAGCCCTCGCTCGTGGGGAGCAACAACGGTGCGCGCCGCGCCTTCCCGCGACGTCCTCGCCCGCGCCGAGCCGAGCCGAGATTCGAATCGAGTCGCGAGGGGGCGCGCGAATCCTGATCCTGAATCTGATTCTGATTCTCGCCGGTCGGCATCGGGACTGCTTCCCATACGACCCCGTTCGCGTGGTGAACGTCATTCCTTAAGGACTTTGGACGATCATCCGTCCCCGCCGTCTCTCATCTCGCCTACCCCCCACTCCCACCCCCGTCCTCCGTCCCGTCCCGTCCCGTCCAGGCCCTTTCCTGCGCCTCACGAACGGCCGCGGGTGGGTCTTCGAGCGCAAGTACGGCGAGGAAGTCATGGAGCCGATCCCCGTAGAACGCGGCCTCTGGCCCTACCTCGTCCGCGCGCCGACGCGAGGCCTGCGCCCGCGCGCGCAGCCCACGACGCGCTCCGAGGCTGAAGACTCCGACGTCTTCCTGTACGAGGACGACGACGTCGTGTACCCGCACGGATACGTCGTGTGGGCGGACGTCAGGGTCGTCGACGCGACGGCGTCGCCGCCCGTGACGTTCGTGCGCGTGCAGGCGCGTTCTATCTCACACTGGTCCCCATACGACCGCGCCGGCGTGGTGAACGCCGATCCTTAAGGACTTTTCCCGGCGGTTCTCTCCGCTTACACTACGCTTTCAATCCTGACACACCTCGACGCCTTTCAACGCCAACTGACGCCTTTCAACTCCACCCAGGGGACGACGGGGTGGCTGTTCACGCTCGCGACGGACGGCGACGACGCTCAGCTCGTCCCGGTGGGCCCGAGCGGCGACTTCAACCCGCGGTATCAGAGGCAGCCGCTGGAGGTGGAGAACGGCGATCGGTTGGATCTGAGCGCCGTGCGCGCGGCGGCGACGAAGCGAGGGTTGACGGAGACGTCGCACTCGCTCGTCGCGAGGCGCGTCAGCTTCGTGAAGTCGCTGAAGGACGCGGGCGGCGCCGCGCGCGGCGAGGCGCACGTCGACGTCTTCTTCGGCACGGCGACCGTCGCGACGAGGGTCCAGCACCCGCGTCTCGGGAAGACGCAGACGTTTCGAAGGCTGTGCACGATGCGGGACGTCGAGCGCGTGTTCGCGGATCCGAGGAACGAACGCGTGACGGGCGGCGGCGGCGGGTACAGATACCGCCGACGGCCGTTCGACGTCGAGGACGAGGCCGCGGCCGCCGCCGCGGAGGCGGCGACGAGCGGCGCGATGTTCGCGAAGCTCGGGATCGCGACGCGGCCGACGACGAAGCCGAGCGCGACGCTCGGGAGCACCGGCGGCGGGCTGTTGTTGCCCACGCCGAAGGGCGGCGGCGGCGGCTTCGGAACGCTCGGGACCGGGATGGAGACGCTGTCGCTCTCTCTGGCGTCGTCCACGAGCCCGCTGGGGTCGCCGTCCACGAACCGCGCGGCGCCGAAGACGACGGACGACGACGCGTGGACGCCGCACGACGAGGAGGGCTCGCTGCGAGGGGAACTGCGAGAGCTCGACGCAGCCATCGCGAGGTTGATGACGCAACGCGCGATTCTCTCGTCGCACCTCCTCGACATCGAGACGTCGTCGAGAGAGCGCGCGCAGATCGACGCCATGGTGGACGAGTCCGAGACGGGCTTCTCCGCGTCCGCGGCGGAGGCGTCGAGGACGAAGCGCCGCGGCGACCCGAGGACGGCGCGAGGCCGCGGACACGTCCGAGTCCTCTCCGACGTCAACGACGCCGACGACGACTTCAACCGCAAGTGCGGCGGGACCGATCAGTTCGCGGACGTGAAGTTCGTCTCGCTGTTCGGCGAGGGCGACGGCTGGTTCATCGCGCGCGACGGCGGGAACTCGTCCTGGTGCGGGCTCCCGGAGTCGCTCGCGGATCGGCTGTGGGAGGCTGGTCGCGGCGACGACGACATGCGTTACGCCGTCTGCGGGCCCTCGGGAGAGTACTACTGCGAGCTCCCGGACGGTCAAAAGTGGTGCCACGACGGCGCGGGCGACCGTTTCACGTCGCTCATCGGCAAGGGCACGCGGAAGAAGACCATCTCCCGCGTCGCGTTCGGCGAGAACGACGCGTGGATCGTGATCTTCACCAACGGCGCGTGCGAGTGGAACGGGCCCGTGCCCGAGGCGCTCGTCGCCGCCATTCGCGCGACGGACGAGGCGCCGACGGAGGTGTCTCTGGGATCCTACGGGACGTTCTTCGTCGCGTTCGCGGACGGGACGTACGACCACGACCTACCAGACGCGTGCGGGCAGTGCGTGTACGACCTCGAGGAGGAGGGGATGACGGTGACGTGCGTGCAGCTGGCGCCGGTGGACTCGGAGGCGGGGTGGCTGGTGCGGTACTCAGGCGCGTTCTTCACTTTTTCACGCCGGTCCCCATACGACCGCGTCGGCGTGGTGAACGCCGTTCCTTGAGGACTTTCTCTCCCGGCGTGTCTCTCCGCCCATCACCCCTCGCTTTCAACGCCCGACCTCGACGCCTTTCAACTCCGCTTCTGACGCCTGTGAACTCCACCCCGACGTCGCTTTGAACGACGGAACGACCCTCAGACGGCGAGGAGGTGGTCGACGTCACGAGGGACGCGCAGGGGCGGCCGCTGGATCACCTCGGCCGGCCGAAGTGGGTCGTCATCGCGGACCGGAGCGCGGCGACGAACACGCTCGCGAGGGTGAACAAGGATCCGCTCCCGGGGTCGCTGTTGGGCGCGAAGGTTGGGTGATCGACGCCGGAGCGAAAGGGTTTATTAAATATTCATCTCACCTGACACATTTATTTTTCTGCTGGCTTGGCGTCTCGTCTCGTCTCGCCTGCGCCCCCCGTCTCGCCCCTCTCGTCAGTCGCCGCCGCACGGCGACTCATGTCGCCCCCACCCCCCGGTCTGAACGATATCGACGCGCAGATCGCGGCGCTCGAGGCGAAGCTCGGCGGCGCCGTCGCGAGCGGCTCGTCGGACGAGGATGCCGACGACGCGGCGACGCGACGACGACGCGAGCGAAAGCGATCGGAGAAGAAGGCTCGGAAGAGAGAGAAGAAGGAGAAGAAGCGGCGCCGCGAGGAGAAGGAGAGCGACGACGACGACGACGACGACGACGCGGTCGCCGCCGCCGCGGAGAGCGACAGCGAGCTCGAGCGGATCGCGCCGCTGCCGTCGCACCTCCTCCCGGAGCACAACGCGTACTCGGGGAAAGGGATCGGAAGAAAGAAAAAGCGCGGCGAGAAGAACGCCGCGAACGCGGGTACGACGACGGCCGCGATGACGACGACGGCGACGCGCGCGGGCGGCGACGCGGGCGCGTCGGGAGCCGCGCCCGCGGCCGCGCCGACGCCAGCGCTCGCGGCGATGATCGCGCGACGCGAGGACATGCCGAGGTGCGACGTGTGCGACAAGCGCTTCACGTCCGTCGCGCAGCTGGACGAGCACGAGCGAGGAAAAGCGCATCTCAAGGCAGCCAGGGCCAGGGCGACGGGGGGGACGCCTCGCGACGCCTCGCGACGCCCACCCGGCGCCGGGCGGCCGGCGGCGCCCGGGAAGCCGATCGCGGGGCTCCCCGGGCCGCCCGCGGGCGCGGTCGAGCACTGCGCGCTGTGCCGGAAGACGTTCACGTCCAAGGCGCAGCTCTTAGAACACGAAGGAGGGAAGTGGCACGCGCTGCGCGTCCGGGGGGAGCTGCCGCCGTCGAGGAGGCCGTACAACGCGTAGCGGACGGTGGTAGGTAGTCGCACGTCGCGCGCGCCTTTGAATAGGAAGCTAGTAAATAGCTAGTACGCCCCTCGGTCGTGCTGGTCCAGGCCGGACTGCGAGTGGCGGTAGTACCCGCGCCGCCGCCGCGACAACGCGGGCTGGTCCGGGCTCATCGGATGGCGCGTCGGATGCGACCGCCGCGTCTCGAGTCGTTTCCCCGTCGCCGCCGCGCTCGCGCTCGCGCTCGCGCTCGTCGTCGCCGCGACGTTCGCGCTCGAGCCGCCGTCGCCGCCGTCGTCTTCCTCGCCGACGTCGCCTCGGTACGCGTCCAACCACTCGGGCGGAAAGACGCCGCCGCCGCCGCCGCCGCCGCCGCCGCCGTGACTCGACCGCCGCGCGCTCAACTCCTCCCTGACCGCGGCCTCGATCGCGTCCTCCTCGTCCAGGCTCCTGCGACGCAAATCCCCAAACCCCAATCCGCCGGGAAGGTCGTCCTCGTCGTCGTCGAACAGCGCCGCGGTCTTCTGCAACGTCTCCGTGCTCGGCGCCGCGCGTCGCAGCCCGCTCCCGCCGCCGACGTGATTATTCCCGCCGCCACCGCCGCCGTCGCCGCCGCGCGCGCCGCCGCCGTTGCCCCACAGACCGTCGTTCAGCAACGGGATCGCCGCGTCCGGGTTCGCGATCTTCCACGCGCGGATCGCGCGCAGCCCCGCCTCGTGCCCGGCGCGCACGATCTCCGCGTACCTCCCGAACGCGAGGATCGGAATGTTCGCCACCGCGGGCCGCACCTGTGAGGATAGAGACACCCGCACGAAAAAACAATCAGACACGAAAACGCCCGAGTAGGCACTGTAGTTTTTCAAGTCATAACGCGACGCGAGTCGTAAAACAGATGAGGGAATCCTTACCATGACGTCCACGGTGCCGAAGCGACGCGCCGCGTTGGCGTAGTCGGTGACGTACGGCAGGTGCGACTGCATCGCCGCCATCGTCGGGCACGTGGGGCCGCCGCCGAGCCAACGCGGGAGCCACTGCGAGAGCAGGACGCGCGCGCCGGACAACGCGTCGCCCCACGGCTTCATCCTCGCCTCGGGTAACCCGTGCCCGCTGATGAGGGTGACAAGTCCGTGCGCGGTCAATATAATTGAAAGAAAACCGACGCGATCGAATGTTGAAACCGAGCGGTGGGTGAAAGACGCGTGTAGGGCTCTAGTAGAACGCACCTGACGTCGACGGCGATGACGTACTCGGCACCCATCGCGCGCATGACGTCCGTCGGGAGGTTGTTCACGTACCCTCCGTCGACGAGGACGTGCATTCGACCGGATTTGGACTGCCCGTATGTCGTCGTCGCGCGCGCGCGCGCGTCGCCGCCGCCGCCGGTCGTCGTCGTCGTCGTCGTCGTCGTCGTCGTCGTCGTCTGCAGCTGGTCGCACACTGGCGGCAAGAACCCCACGAGCGCCATGCTCGCGCGGACGTACCGCCACAGCGTCCCGTTGCGGTGCACGATCGCGGAGCACGAGATGAGATCCAGCGTCATGCAAAAGAACGGCAGCCAGCAGTCCTCGATCTTCGCGCCGCGGAACAGCGGCTCGAGCGTCTCGTTCATTCGAAACCCGCTGAAGTACGACACGATCGGCAGCGTGAGATCCCTCAGCTGGTTCCACGCGCTCGACATGTGCACCGCGAGCCGCCGCGCGATGATCCTCGTCAACAGCGCCGTCGGTTCCTTCGCGTAGATGCCGCCCACGAACGCGCCCATGGACGTCCCGCCGAGCATATCCACCGGCACGCCCTCCTCCTCGAGCGCCATCAACACGCCGACGTGCGCGAACCCCCTCGCGCCGCCGCCGGCGAGCACCAACCCGACGCCGCGTCGTCGCAGCGACCGCGCGAGCCTCGCGGCGTGCGCGGGCGCGAGCCCGTGCGCGGGCGCGCGCGCGACGTGATGATGTCGGTGCACGGAGAACGCCTCGAGCCACGGGCGCGTGCCTCGCGGCGTCACCTCGAGGGTCGTTCCATACGAAGCGATGTCGGGGTGGAGTTGAAAGGCGTCAGATGGAGTTGAAAGGCGTCGATGGCGGGGATTGAAAGCGAGGGGTGGGCGGAGAGATGCGCCGGGCGAAGTCCTTAAGGATCGGCGTTCACCACGCCGACGCGGTCGTATGGGAACCAGTGTAAGGAAATCTCACCTCGCTGCTCGCGTGAAGAAGCACGAGCTCGCGCCGCGCGAAGCCGCCGTAACCGCCGCCGCCGAGGAGCCGCGACTGGAGCCGCCGCCCGTCCTCCGGCGCCGGCGCCGCGTCGTCCGACGACGCGACGAGGAGGATCGCGTCCGCGTGGCGCGCGCACTCGACGCACCACGCGCTCGGGAACGGATCCGCCTTGAGCACGACGACGTCGTTGGACGCTTCGAGCTGCGACAGCCAGTGCGCGGTGGCTTCCCTCGCGAGCGCGCCGACGCCGGCTTGGCCAACCTCCGCGAGTCGAGACGCGCTGTCCGCGACGCGCGCGACGCAGTGCTTGGACAGTGCGTGGTGCACCGCGGCGCAGAACTCGTCGAGCGCGAGCGCAGCGCCTTCGCTGACGGGGACGACGGCGACGGTCCTCGGCGCGGACGTCGACGCGCTCGAGGGATCCCCCCCGGAGGGACCCGCGGTGGACGAGTGATGATGCGCGCCGCCGACCGTGGCGCCGCCGTGCGGGGACTGGATCCCCGCCGCGACGCCCATGCCCGCGAAGTCGACGCCGCCGGACGAATGCGGATACGAATACGAACCGCCGTCGCGGGAATGTGGACCGTCGCCGCCGAAACCGAACCCGCCCGCTGCTCGCGCGCCCATCCGCCACGCGAGCGACACGAACGACCGCGGCGCGCACAGCGCGAGGGACTCGACGCCAGACCCGGGGATCCACAAGAGCTGCGCGTCGCGGACCGCGCGCGCGCGCAAGATGGACGACGACGACGACGACGACGACCCCGCGAAACCGCCGCCCGCGCTGAACGTCGCCGTCGAACGCGGCTCGTCGTCGTCGTCGTCGTCGTCGCGATATTCGAACCCGAACCCGTCGCCGCCTCGCAACACCGTGTCCTCGCCGATCGCCTCTCCGGGACCCAAGACGCGGGCCCTCCCGCCGCCCGCCGCGTCTCCTCCCGCGCCGCCGCCGCCGCCGCCCGGCGTGCCGCCGCCGACGCTCGCATCGTCGCCGCATTCGCCGCCGACCGCCTCGCCGGGAAGCCCCAGCCGAACCCTCCCGGTCACGACGACGTACACGCCGTCCGGATGCCCGCCGCCGCCGCCCGATCCCGGTCCCGATCCCAATCCCGACCCGACGCCGCTCAGCGCCGCGCCCGCGCCGAGGCTGACCCACTCCGCGCCGAGACGATCCCACGTCCGCATCGGCAGCGACGGCCTCAGCCGCCGCGCGAGCGACGACGCGATGCGAGTGTACACCGCCGGCGTCGACCGCGCCAATCGCGCGACGGCGACGTGCGGCAACGCCGCGAGGACGCACCCGCGCGGGCCCGCGCGCAGGAGCACGCTGAGGCTCCGTTGCCCGGTCAGGAGGAGGTGACTCCCGACGCTCTCGCCCTCGGTCGCGACGAACGCGAGCGTCCGCGCGTCGACGCGCGCGGCGGCGGCGCGCGCGTTCGTCGTCGCCGCGCCGGCGTCGGCGCCGCCGCCGGCGCCGCCGCCGCCGCTGGACGCGGACGACGGATCGAGCCTCGACCTCGACTTCGACCTCGACTTCGACTTCGACCGCCGCGACGCCGACGCCGACCCGTCCCCCCCCGCGCTCGCACTCGGCGGGCGCCAGTGCCCCTCCAGGGACCCGCGCTCGACGAGAAACGCGCACGCGGCTTTCGCGCCGCGCCGCGGCAGCCGCGCCTCCGCGAACGGCGGCAGCTCGATCGCCTCGAGCTCCACGGGCCCGACGCCGCCGGCGGCGCTATCGAGGCCCGTCGTCGCGCGGCTCGCGGAGCTGTGGCCGACGCTCCAGCCGCCGGCGGAGGACGCCGACGCGTCGTCGTCGTCGTCCGCGTCGAAGAGGGAGGACCGAGGCGCGGACGCGGGCGCGGTCCGCGCGGGCGGCTTTCGCGGCTTGTACCCGCGTCGCTCGAGCAGCGCGTCCAAGGACGCGCGGTCCACTAAGTTCGCGGCGTCCTCGCCGAGCAGCGTCACGAGCGCGTGATGCGCGCCCGGACGCGACCCCGACCCCGACCCGTCGTCGTCGTCGTCGTAACTGGTTCCCATACGACCGCGTTCGCGTGGTGAACGCCGTTCCTTAAGGACGTCGTCGTCGAGGTCGAGGTCGAGGTCGAGGTCGAGGTCGCCCTCGCTCGCTCGCGCGCGTTCCGTCCACAGGTGTCGCAGCTCTCTCGGCGTCCGCAGGTAGTGGCACAGCGCCTGGTACCCGGCGCTGAGTCGCATCGCCGCCGCCTGCACGCCGAGCTGCGACCCCGCGGCGCGATGAAAGTGTCGCATGGGGACGATCACGACGGTCGCGCCGGCGTCCGCGCCGCGGACGCGAAGCCGCGGGATGCCCCCGGGGCCGCCGCTGATGAGGGCGATTCCATACAAAAAATGTTCATCGGTCAGTTGATGAAAGGGACCCACGCGATCAAATTTTGAAACCGGGCGATGGGTGAAACACGTTTGCACAGAACGAACACACCTGAAGTCGCCGTCGTGCGGAGACGCGGGCGCGACGCCGACGCCGTCCCTCCCCGCGAAGTCGACGTCGCCGTTCGCCGGGCGGGACGGCGTCGCGGGGTACGACGGCGCGGTCGGCTCGCGCGGCGGCGTCCCGGGGGGTTCGTCGCCGCCGCCGCCGCCGCCGCCTTCGTTCGCCGCCTCAAACGCCGCCGCGCCGCCGGACGCCTCCTCGAGCGCGGCGCCGAGCCGTTTGATCCCCTCTCTCGTGACCCCGGTCGCCGACGCCGACGCCGCCTCCACCTCCGGGTCCGTCGCCCCGCGGCTCCCCTCGAGGATGTCCAGCAGCGAGTTCAGCGCCGCGCCTCTCCGTCTGACGATCGTCGGTCGCGCGCCCGCGTAGGACGCCTCGTCGCCCACCGCGACGGCGCCCGAGACGAGCACGCACAGCTCGCATTCTCGCGCGACGCCCCCCGACCGCGACCGCCCGGGGACGCCCAAGTAGAAGACGTCCTCCCCGGGGGCGACGCGCGCGACGCGCGCGTGGTCGGCGTAGAGTTTCGCGACGACGTCGAGCGGGACGTTGAGGAGCGGCGAGGACGACTCGAGCGCGGCGAGCGCGACGTCGCCGTCGCCGTCGCCGTCGGGTCCGTCGCCGTCGGGTCCGTCGCCGTCGTCGTCGGCGGCGGCGCCGAAGCCGAAGCGCGCGCGGCGGCGGCGAAGCGCGGCGTCGGCGGCGTCGTCGCCGCCGTCGCCGCTCGCGGTGGGATCGTGGAGGACGCGCAGGCCGTCCCCTCGCGTCGCGTCGAGCGCGCCGACGGACGACGCGAACGACGAGAAACGTCGACGACGACGACGCGAAATGCCGCCCCCGTCGAACGCCGCGTCGTCGTCGTCGCCGCGCGCGCTCGCCGCGCGCCACGACCGCCACCGTCGGACCGCCTGCCGGAGCCGTCGCGGGTGATGCGGGAGGTCGAACAGCCGCAGCGTCGCGCTCTGGAACGCCTTCAGCTTCTCGTCGTCGATGCGCGAGATCTCGCGCACGCGCCGACGCGTGAACGCCAGCCACGCGGTCGTCGCGACGACGACGTGCGTGCAGAGGGCGTAGAAGACGAGGAGGAGGACGCACGCGGCGAGGCCGGCGTTCGTGCCGTACGCGCCCACGAGGAGCGCGGCGAGGAGCGCGACCGCCTTCAGCGGGGGGAGGTACCCGCCGAGCATCTCGACGCGCGGGGTCGCGGCGGACGGCGGGCGCGCCGCGCCGAGTGACGACAGGATGCGGATGCGGGAAAACGACGGAGTCGCGTTTGAGGAACTGACGCGCGCGCGCGCACAACGCGCGCCGCCGCCGATCGATGCCAAGCGCGTCGCTGCGGTCGCTCGGGTTCGCTCTCGCACACCGCGCTCTCGCACGCGCGCGTCTCGTCTCCGCCTCGACCTCGTCCCGCGCGCGCGCGCGCGCGCCGTCGTCGGCGTCGTCGTCGTCGTCGTCGTCGCTCGGGTCGGCAACCCGCCTCCCTCGCGCGTCGCCGTCGCCGCCGACGCGCGCCCGAGCGATGTCCGGCGACGCGAACGGCGCCGCGGAGCTCGCCGCGATGTCGTGCAAGGCCCTCGGCGCGTGCTCCAAGTGCGTCTCCGCGCGCGAACCCTCCTCCGCGCGCGCCGTCGCGAGATCGCCCCCCCTCCATCCTCGCGACCGCCGCCGCGAGAGAGAAGAACTAACAACCGATCTGAGAACTGACGCGCGCGATCCCCGCCCCGACCCCGCGCGCGCTCCTCCGCAGGGACACGCCGCGTCTCGCCGCGGACGAGATCGCGACGAGGCTCGCGTCGCTCGGACCAACGTGGACGCTCGACCCCGCCGGCCTCGCGATCAAGCGCGCGTTCGTCGCGAAGAACTGGCGGTGCGCCATCGACTTCGTCAACGCGCTGTCCGACGTCGCGGAGAGTGAGGTGCGTCCCATACACTGGTCCCCATACGACCGCGTCGGCGTGGTGAACGCCGTTCCTTAAGGACTTTTCCCGGCGCGTCTCTCCGCCCACCCCTCGCTTTCGATCCCCGCCCTCGACGCCTTTCAACGCCAACTGACGCCTTTCAACTCCACCCCGACTTTCGCTCGGACGGAACGACTCGAAGGGGCATCACCCGGACGTGGCGGTGCGAAACTATCGAGAGGTGGAGGTGGTGTGCAGCACGCACGCCGCGGGCGGGCTGACGTTGCACGACTTCGTGCTCGCCGCGAAGGTGGACGCGCTGCCGGTGACGTACTCGCCGAAGTGGGCGCGAGAGAACGGGCTCGCGCCGTGACGAGACGAGAAGAGACGAGGCGCGTGCGATGATGATGCGCGTGCGTCGTGTTTCGTATTACGTAGACGCGCCGCGCGCGTGTTTGTCTGTGCGTTGTGATGACATGTCGTGGCTGTCACAGCCGATCACACTTCGTCGTCGTTTGTGATGTCCGCGCGCGTTCTGGTGCTGCTGCTGCGTGATATGCGTCGTCGTTTCGTCGTCGTCGTCGTCGTCGGTGGGAGGAAAAAAAAGAAGCGGGAGTCGCGACGGCGTCGCCGCGCCGCGCGGAAGTCGAGTGACGACCGCCGGCCGACGACCGCGACGGGAAGCCGCGGGTGGGAGGCTTACTTCTTCTGCTTCTTCGCCGCGCGGAGCTCCTTCCGGTAGCACGCGTTGCAGTTGAACCCGCCCGGGCACGCGGTCCAGGTCGACTTGCCTCCCTTACCGCACTGGACGCACGTCGTCCGGGCGTCGTTGAGCTCCTTCGCGCGCTTCGTGTTCCAGCACGCGAGGCAGATGTGCGCGCCGTCCTCCCCCTCGACCGCTGCCAGGCCCGGCCGGTTGAGCTGCTTGCACTCGACGCACTTGATGCCGGCGGCGTGCTTCTTCTCCTTGCGGAGCGTGCACGCGCAGGGGTTGCAGACGATGCCCGTGCCCTTGACGACGCAGAACTTGCTCGTCTCCGTCGCGGGGCAGCGCACGCACACGGTGACGCCGCCGCGCGGGAACTTGACGTGGTTCTCCACCGTCATCCGGCACGCGTTGCAGCAGCGGACCTCCACGCCGTTCAGGGTCTTGCGGTACCACTTAGAGGTGTTCCGCAGATCGTGTGAGCGGCCGCACCCCATCTCGCACAGCCTACGGACGGCGGGGGCGGGAACGGTTAGTCGCCGCCGCGGCGCGGGTAGAAATTTGAAATGAAAAGAAGTCGCGTCGTCGTCGTCGTCGCGCGGTGGGAGTGAACGTACCCGCCAGCCGGCTTCGGCCCGCGCGGCGCCTTGGCGTACACAGGGTGTGCGCGACGGTTCTTCGGGTTAATACCCGGCACGATCTCGACCACGCCCCCGGTCGGGACGGCGAAAGTAATCGCGCGCGCTCTGCCGCCGACGCCGACGCCGCCGCCGCCGCCGCGACCGCCGCCGCCGCGGTTCGTCGGCGCGGGCGGCGCGGGGCGCCAGTCGTCCTCCTCCTCCTCGGGCTCGGGCTCCTCCTCGAGCTCCAGCGCGAGCGGCTCGCCGTTCTTCGCCGCGAGCCTCGCCGCGCGCCTCGCCTCCCTCGCTGCGCGCCTCGCCTCCTTCGCGGCTTTCCTCGCCGCCCACCCGTCGAGGAGCTGTTTCCGCTGTAGCCGCCTCTCGCGCGACTGTTTGTTGAACAAGCGGTGCCAGTCGTCGTCGTTCTTCGCGACTTTCAGGTGCGCCATCCGCATCCCCTGCGCCTGCTTCTCCGGGTCCTCGTCGTAGACCTGCTTCAAGCTCGTGTAGCCCGCGTTGTAGTTCACGTCCGGGTGCGGCTCGTTGTCCCACTCCGACTCCCACTCCGACTCGAAGTCGGAGTCGCGGCCGTCGACGGACTCCTCGGGCTCGGAGTCGAACTCGTCGCGCGCGCGCTTCGCGCCGGAGTTTTTCGCCCGCGGCGGCGCGGGGTCCTTCTCCGCGTAGTTGATGGGCGTCGTGCGATCGCGCAGGCTCATCGGGTGCGACGCGGGCGCGGGCGTCTGCGGCACGCGGCGGCGCACGGGCTGGAACCCGGTCGCGCCGCCGGCGGCGGGCGCGTCTTGACCGCCGACGCGTTGCCCGAGCTCCTGAAGTCCGAGCGAGAGCATGAACGCCTTGTTCTTCCTGATGTTCTCCTCGCGCAGGAGCTCGTACTCGCAGAGGTCCTGCACAGGGGGTGGGGCAGGGGATGACCTCGTGAGTCGAAAGCGCGCGCGGCGGCGGCGCGGAGATGCCCCGTCGCACGCGCGCGCCCGCGCGAAGCCGCGCCGCGCGAGCGAAAAGAAAAGAAAGCCGCCAGGCTGGACGCGTCACGAAACGCGGCCGCGCGCGCGGGGGGGGAAGAGGGCGTGAGGCGCGCACCTGATCGTCGGAAGCGTCGACGCCGGACATGGCGGAGAGAGAAGGGGTGCGGAGAGAGCGGGGGGTGCGGGTGGGGATGGGGGGGTGCGTGTACGTCGTGCGGCGCGCGTGCGGTTGTGCCGCGAGCAACGGATATTTCTCGGACGTGATTTATTTTCGCGCGCGGCGGACGCACAGCTGTGCGTCCGCTCGTTCGGTCCTCGCCCACGCGCAAACATCGCTGCGTCACGACGTGCTCTGGCGCGTCGTGGGCGTCGCGTCGGCGCGGTCGTTCCCGCGGGGTAGGTTCTATGTCGGACGGATGGGGACGCGCGGCGAGGGGGCGCGACGGCTTCGCCGCGTGCGCGCGCGAGCTCGAGTGAAAGAAAAAATATTACGCGCCCGCGCTACCTCTCTACCACTTGAACGGCGCGACGAGCTGCGCGACCGCATCGAGCGCGGATATCCCCCACTCCTCGCGGTAGCCCACGATCAAGCACCCGCGCTCGACTCCGGCGTCTATAAACCCGAACGTCGTCTGCCCGGTCAGATCGATCCTCGGGCGCCACGGAAGGTTGAGGTCGCCCGTCATCCGCCAGCTCGCGCGAACGCTGCCGCCGCCGCCGCCGCCGCTGCCACCATCGTTCCCTCGCGCCGGCACTCGCGGAGACTTCGTCGCGCGCGGCGACGCGCTCGTCGTCGTCGTCACGTCGTCATCATCATCCATCACCATGATCATCGATGAGATTAGCCGTCGCCGCCGCTCCCGCGGCCCTCGCGAGGCGCCGCCGCCGCCGCGCGCTGCGCTCTGCGCCGCCACTCGCTCGCGGCGCGGCGGCTCTGCGAATCGGACGCGTCCGAAGAGTGAGTCCTCAAGGAACGGCGTTCACCTCGCGCTCGCGGTCGTATGGGAACCAGTCCGTCGTCCGTCGGGAATGTAAATAAGTTATGAACGGTACACGACGCCATCGGTCATTCGGAAGACGCGAGGTGCTCCAACAGCGCGAGCGCGGCTTCCAACTCCTCGCCCTGAAACCCCCCGAACACGACCGTTTTCTTCCCTCCGCCCGAGTCGGCGCCCTTGGTCGTCACCCGCACGCCCCCGCCCCCGCCCCCGCCCTCGCCGCCGCCGCCGTCCTTCGCGTTGGTCCTCTCAACCGCGTCCACGGCGTCGTGCGCGACGACGAAACTCTCCGGGGTGTCACCGCGCAACAGCGGCGCGGGCTCGAACGCGAAGCACGCGTGTCGCTCGGTGACGTACAACGCGCCGGCGAAGGGGAGGACGATCGTCGGGGGCGTCGTCGCCAGAGCCTCCGGAGCGGCGGCGGCGGCGGCGGCGGACGCGTTTTTTTTTTTCTTTCCTCGCTCGCCGCCGCCGCTCGCGTCGCCGCTCGCGTCGCCCGTCGCGAGCGCGTACCGCTGCTCGACGTCGCACGCGAAACACTCCAGCAGCGTGCTCCCGCTCGGGAGCGCGGGAAACTTCTCCCTGAGCTGCGCGGGCGTCGTCGACGGCGGCTTCGCGCGCGGTCTCCGAACGACGGCGTACCCGTCCCAGACGCCTCCTCCTCCTCCGCTTCCTCCTCCGCGCGTCGTCGTCATCGCGTCCTCGCCGTCGCCGCCCTCGCCGGTCGCGTCCGCGACGAGATAGTCGATCCCTTTCCAGAGCTCGCTGATCCCTTGCGCGATCCCGAACGGGTCGTCGACGCCGTCCCGCGACGAGGTCGTCGTCTCCGCGTCCGTCGGTCGCGACGTCGTCGACCGAGCCGTCGTCTCCGCGGTCGTCGTCGTCGTCGTCGTCGTCGACGCGCTGCTCCACCCGAACATCCCGGACAGCGCGTCGACGCCCTCGGAGAGCGCCGCGGAGGCTTGGTCCGCCATCTCCGTCGCTTGCCTCTGCGCCTCGGTGAGTATCGCGTCCGCGTCGGGGTAGAAGGCGTCGTCGTCGTCGGCGAGACCGTCGAGATCCGCGGCGTCGTCGCCGTCGCCTCCGAGGTCCTTCGCCGCGCGCGCCACCGCCTCGTCCATCCGCGCGGCGCCGCGGCCGTCCGCGTCCTCCTCCTCCTCCTCCGCCTCTCTCGGTTTCTTCGCCTTCGCGGTCGCGGGGGTGAGGAACACCTCGGTCTCGGCCGCGGCCGGGGACGGCGAGTCGGGGGGGCTCATGGCGCGGGGCGAAGTGCGATGCGATGCGTTGGGCGACCGTTTGGACGAGTCCGACAAATAAAACAATGTGCACTCCGCGCCGCGCCGGCCGCGATGTCCTCGTTCGCGCGCACGGCGACGCCGGCGAACGCGCTCAAGGCGATCGACAGCAAACAGAAGCACCTCAGAATGCTCCTGTGCGACAGGCTCGAGACGAACGCGGAGACGTACGGCGACGGCGCGGCGATGCCCGGCCGACGCGTCCTCGCCGCGACCACCGAGGGCGGGCGCGAGAGCGACGAACAGGACGACGCGACGACGACGACGGAGGCGGACGCGCGCGACGACGACGACGACGACGACGACGACGACGCGTCGTTAGACCCGAAGTACTGGTTCCCGCCGTACGCGAAGAGAGGCGCGCTCGCGAGGGACCTGTCGACGGCCGTCTCGAGGGGGCGAACGCCGACGGGCGACTTCGTTGAGACGATCAATCCAGCGCTGCACCCGCCGCCGGGCAACGGATTCAGGCGGTAGGCGGCGGCGGCGACGACGGGCGGGGTCGGGACGGGACGACGCGCGCGCGTCGTAGGTCGTTTCGGTCGACGTCGTCATACTCTTAGTGTACCTCTTAATAGTAGCGAGAAGAAGCGAAGCGAAGCGAAGAGAGCGCGTCGACGAACGTCGCGCGTTCAGATCCTCCGTCGTCGCGGATCCTCCGGTCCGTCGTCGCTCGCTCACCGATACATGTGCTGACCGCCGTACTGCTGCTGCGCGTACTGACCGTACGCGGAGTACGCGTCGCCGCCCGCGGGCGGCGCCGGCGGCGCGGGCGTCGCCTTCGCGGACGGCTGTCCGTAGCTCTGTTGCCCGTACGCGCTGTGCTGCGCGCCGGCGTTGGCCGACGTCTTCTTTTGCGCGCCGCCGACGCCGACGCCGCCGGCGTTTTGCCCTCCGTACCCTCCCGCGTTCGGGGGCACGCCGTACGCGCCGGCTTGCGGATACCCGTAGTACGGCGACTGCACGTACGGCGCCGTGGGGGGCGGCATGTAGTACCCGCCGTACATACCCGGGTGGCCGTACGCGCCCGCCATGCCGGCGCCGGCGAACGCCTGCTGCATCGCCGCCGGCGCGGGCGCGCCCGAGGACTCCTTCGCGCCGCCGCCCGACGCCCGTCCCCCCGCGTTGCCCGCGTTGGAGTTTGCGCTCTTGTTCGCGTTGACGGAGCCGTACACGTTGGCGCCGGCGCCGCTCGCGCCCTGCGGCGCGCTTCGCGCCTGCGCCTGCTGCCCCTGCTGCGACCTCGCCGTCGACCCGCCCGCGGTTTGTTGCGCTCCGCCGAACTGGTTCCTGAGGTAGTCGTTCGTGTCGTACGACCCCGCGCCCGCGCCCGCGGCGCCGCCGGCGCCGTACGCGGCGCCGTACGCGCCGTACGCCTCCGCCCCGGGCATCACCTGCGGCGGCATCATGTAGTTGTACGCGTTGGGCATGCCGCCGTAGCCGTACGGCATCTGCTGCGAGTGCTGCGAGTGCTGCGACGCGGCGGCGTGCTGGTGCGCGGAGTGATGCGCGCTCGACGCCGGCGCGCCCGAGGTGGCCCCCGCGGTGCCCTGCGATGCGTCTTGTTTCAAGTCGTCCGGCAGCTTCATCCCGCCCTGCGCCCGCTGCTGCTGCTGCTGCTGCTGCTGCTGCTTGTTGTCGTTGACGTAGGACGAAAACGACCCCGCGGCGGCGGCGCCCGCGTCCGCGGCGCCCGCGGACGCGGCGGCGGTGGACGCGCCGCCGAGCCCCTGCGCGAATCCGAAATCACCCACTCCCGCGCCGCCGAAGCTGCCGAACCGCAACCCGAGGCCGCCGTCGCTCGCGCCGACGCTCTGCGCGCTCGCCGCGGCGACGACGCCGGGCGCCTCCGCCGCCGCCGCCGGCGGCGCCGTCGCGCCGTCGAACCCGTACCCGAACGTGTCCGCGGAAACGACGGTGGGCCCAGGTCCGCCCCAGCCGCCGTCCGACGCCGCCGGCGCCGACCGCGGCGCGCCTCCCCGCTGCGCCGCCGCCGCGCCCGTCGCCGCCGCCGCGACGCCAAAGTTGGGCGCGGGGACAGATTTGCCGCCGCCGCCGGCGCGCGCGAGCGGGACGTCGCCGCCGCCGCCGTTCGGTCGCGGTAACGGTCGACCCGCGTTCGTTTGTTGTTGTTGCTGCTGCTGCTGCTGTTGTTGTTGTTTCCCGCCCCGCGCGCCGCCCGCGGCCGGTCCGCGCGTCGATTTCGCCGGCGCCGCCGTCGGCGCCGGCGTCCTCGGCCCTCGGACGATCTCCGCGGCAGTGCGTCCGCCGGCGCCGCCCCACTTCGGCGCGGCCGCGGCGGCGGCGGCGGCCGCGGCGGGCGCCGACACGCCGGGCGCGGGGCCGGGCGCCGCGCGCGCTTGCGCCTGCCCGGGCGTCGGCCCGCCCGCGCCGATCGCGCGCGAGTATAACGGCTGACTCGTCGCGTCGTCGGCGCCGGCGGCGGGTTTGGGCCCTCGCGCGTCGCCGCGGCGGTCGCGACGCTCGCGGCCGCCCTCGCCCGCGCGCGGCGCGGGGAGCGGGACTTTGCCGCCGCCCTTGCGGTCTGCGGGCGAGGGAGAAGAGAGGGTGGGGGGTAGGCGGTGAGTCGTCGCGGCGACTGGAATCGAGGGAGGAACAAAAATCCTCTCCGGCGACTGGATGCTGCACTTGACACAGCTGTCGCGACGGGACGGATCTATCGATTCGACCGCGTGGTCGCGCGGGATCTTCCGGAGACGCGGCGCGGCGCGCGCGGTCGACGCACCTTGCTTCTCGCGTCTCTCGCCGCCCTTGCGGTCGCGGTCGTTCTTGTCTTTCTTCGTCGGCGCGGCCTTCGACGCCTGCGAACGACGGAGCGCGGGGGCGAAGGGCGCGACGCGTGAGGTCAGTCAGCGCGAGTGGGCACTACGGCGACGAGTATCGGCCGATCTCGCGGGAGGAGGAGAGGACGCGGCGCGCGATCGCGCGCCGGAAAGTCGGCGCGCGGGAGCGCTTCGAGCGCGCGCACCGCCGGCTTCTTCGCGCCCTTCTTAGAGACCTCCTCGAACTTTTCCACTGCGCGACGAGAGAGGGGAGAGGGCGTCAGCGCGCGTCGCGGGGAGGGAGAGATCGCGTTCCCGCGCGCCGGCGTCGTCGATTGCTTTTCGAGCGGTCGATCGATCGATCGCGCGTCGCGGCGCGTCGCCGGAGAGCGCGCGAGGCGGGGGCGGCGGGGCACGCACTGTCCATGAGCGCGTTCGTCGCCGCGTTCACGTCCCCCGCGTATTTCTTGAGCATCGCCACGACGTCGTCCTCGCCCTGGCCCGTGATGCTCACGAGCGTCTGTATCTGCGCGCGCGCCATCGCCGCCGTCCGCGTCCTTGTCCTCCCCTCGTGCGCGCGTCGAACGATCGAAGCGGCGTCGATCGCGGACGAACGTCGGCCGCGCGACTCGCGATGCGTTCGAGCGCGTGCTTCGCTCGATGCGACTTTTACGCTCGCGCTGACGTGCGAGCGATGCGTGCGGTTGCCGGCGCGTCGAGGGCGTCGCGGCGCGTGCGGGTGTGGTCGCGCCGGCGCGAGAGCGACACGGGGAAACTACCTGACGCTGACGGAACTCCCGTGTGCCGACCGCGAAGAAGGCGGGAAACAGCTCGCGTATGGAAACGTAGTTAGAGTAGTGTACTACTTACGCGTACTACGCGCACGTGTACGACTCGCGAATGACCTCAGTGTTAAAAAACGTTTTTCACCCATCCTTCGCTTTCAACATTTGATCGCGTCCTCTTTCAACTGACCGATGAACTCTTCTGCGCGTCGCGCGTCCGTCCCACGACTCGCGGTCCTCCGCGCTCAACCTCGCGCCGACGAGGTCGTCGAACCGCCCTCTCTCCGCCAAAACGTCCGCGTCCGCGAGCGCGAGGTCCATCCTCGCGCCCGCGCGCCCGTTCGCGTCGTCCTCCACCGCGCGCGCGTCGACCAGGCGACCGGCGCACACGTACGGACCCTTGTGCGCGCGTAAGAAGAGCACCGCGGCGGCGGCGTCGGCGTCGTCGTCGGCGTCGGCGTCGTCGCCGCCGCCGCCGCCGCCGCCGTTCGCGGCGGCGAGGACGGCGCGCACGCTCAGTGGGCCGCGGGAAGGCGCGTGCGGACCCGCGAACCAACTCATCTTCACGGCGACGGTTTCGCCGCCGCCGCCGCCGCGGGCGCCGCCGCGGGCTGAGGGTCGTTCCGTACGAGCGAACGTCGGGGTGGAGTTGAAAGGCGTCAGAAGCGGAGCTGAAAGGCGTCGAGGGCGGGTATTGAAAGCGAGGGGTGACGGGCGGAGAGATGTGCCGATAGAGAAAGTCCTTAAGGATCGGCGTTCACCACGCCAACGCGGTCGTATGGGGACCAGTGTATAGAACGCGCCTGATCCCGCGACCCACCACTGGTTCGGGTACCGCGCGTTCGCCGCGTTGTTCCCGTGCCGCTCGTACGCCTTCCCGCCGACGTTCACGAACAGCGCGAGCACGTTCCCGCACCGCTGGACGCCGCCGCGGCCGCCGCCGCGTCGCTCCGCCGCGGCGGCGGCGTCGTCCGACGGAGGATATCCCGAAAGCCAATCCGCGACGTCGATCTTCTTGTCGAAGCTGCGCCCGACGGCGTGGCGGATCGCGTCGACCGCGACGGGCGCGCGCGGCGGCAGCCTCGGGATCGACCGCGCGACCTGAACCCGTCGCTCTGTCCGCGCGCGCGGCGGCGGCGGCGGCGGCGCGTCGAAATACGGCGGGCGCGACAGCGGCGACGTCGGGTCGCTCAGGGTCGTTCTATACGAGCGACGATGTCGGGGTGGAGTTGAAAGGCGTCAAATTGAGTTGAAAGACGTCATAGGGTCGGGGATTGAACGCGAGGGACCCTGGGCGGAAAGAATCGCCGGGTAAATTCCTTAAGGATCGGCGTGCACCACGCGAACGGGGTCGTACAGATGGGGACCAATGTGAGGAACGCACCGCAGCGCCGCCGCCGTCGCCTCCGGGGCGATCCCGACGCACCGGTCGAACAGCACGGTCAACACGTGCGCGTCCGCGGCGGCGTAACGCGCCTGCGACGGCGACAGAGGCCGCCGTTCCCAGTCCGAGCACTGCTCCGCCTTGTTCACGTAACACCCGAGGCACGACGCGACGACGCCGGCGAGACCGACGCGCGAGCGGAGCACTTTTTTTTCCGGGAACGCGACGAGCGCGAGCGATTTGACGTCCACGACGCCGACGCCGCGCGCGTGCTCGGAATCCTCCGCGGTCGCGGGATCGACGGCGGCGACGGATTTCAGCGACGGGTAAGACGTCCGCAGCCGCTTCAGGTCGTGGTCTAGACCGAACCCGAGTTTGAGCACGCGTCTCGACGCGAAGAGGTCGCGGAGGAAGGCGTCGAACGCAGCCGCCGCCGCCGTCGCCGCCGCCGCGTTTTCGTTTCCGTTTCCGTTTCCGTTTTCGTCGCGATCGGCGGCCATGACGCCGGCGACGTCGACGAGGAACGCGTCGGAGCGCGTCGCGATCTGGAGGATGGACACGGGCGACCCGGAGACCGGGCGCCACTCCGCGTCCACGCCGACGACGTCGTACGAGCGTTCGCCCTCGTCGTCGTCGTCGTCGCCCTCGTCGCCCTCGTCGTCGCGGAGAGTCGCCGCGCGCATGCGAGCGATCGACGCGACGTCGCAGACCCAGTGCACGTTCTCGTCCGGAAGCGACGGAAACTCGGTCGTCTTCCCGCCGCCCTCGCGCTCGCCGACGCGCAGGAGCGCCAGCGCGTCGGAGATGTCCGCCTCGTCGTCGGACGTCCCCGTCGTCGTCGTCGTCGTCGCGGTCTCCTCCTCCTCCTCCTCCTCCTCCTCCTCCCCCGCCGCCGCCGCCGCCGCCGCGTCCGCCGCCGCTAAAGCCCCGAGCGCGGCCGCTTCTTCCTCGCCGACGAGGACGCGCACGCTCTCGCACACGACGTCGACGCCCCCCGGTCGCGGGTTACTCTGCGCCCGCCCCCGCGCGCGGACCACGACGCCGGGCTTCAGCGCGCGTAAGATGTCGTCCATCGCTCTCTTCCCGTCGTCTTCGTTCACGTCTTCGTTCTCGTTTACGCCGCCGCCGCCGCCGCCGCCGCCGCCGCCGCCGCTCAGCGCGCGCATCAACGTCCGCCCCGCGATGAGCTGCAGCGTCTTCGCGCCTCTCACCGACTCGTCGTCCGTCTCGATCGCGCGGAGCGTGCAGAACATGAGGTACTTCGCGACGCGTCTCGAGCTCGTCACGCGCGCCGTCGTGTAGGTATCTACCCTCGTCGCCGCCGCCGCCGCCGTCTCGCGCATGATCGAAGCCATCTCCGCGCGGATGAGCCTCCGCTCGGAGCCGACGCGCTCGTCGACCTCGTGCGGCGCGGCCACGAGCGCGCCCCGCGACGACGACGACGACGACGACGGCGTCTCGGGGGTAGAAGGCGCGACCGGGGGTTCGACTCTGACGCTCGCGCTCGCGTTCGTCGTCGTCGTCGTCGTCTCCTCGTCGTCCGCCGCTCGCCGCCGCTTCACGTCCGCGACCTCGCCCCTCGTCAGCCCCACGAGCTCGCGCGTCGCCACCTTCATCTCGCGCGACGCGTCGCCGCTCCCGCCGTACACGTGCGCGTGCGGAATCTCCAGTATCTCCGCGTCCACGAACGTTCGCAGCCGACGCGGCGCGTGGCCGAAGGGCGGCACCACCCCCGGCGAGAATCCGCACGCCGCGGTCGTCTCCTCCGCGGTCGCGAGGCGCACGCGCTTGTTCGACGTGCCGCACAGGCGCGCGAGCTTCTTCGCGTCGACGCGCTCGAGGCCGTTGGTGACGACGCACACGAAGACGGGCGCGGGGGCGTCGCGGTCTCCGTGCTCGACCGCGAAGACGAGCGATTTGATGATCTGCGAGGCGTCGACGCCCAACGCGACCGCGGAGGACGCGACGTCGTTTCCCGCGGCGTCGGGGGGGCGCGGGACGAGCGACGCGGCGTCGGGGGAGACGTCGTTCGCGCGGAGCCACGACGCGAGCGGCGAGGAGGAGGAGGAGGAGGAGGGGGAGGAGGAGGTCGTCTTC